AGTCTTAGTCTGATTCCTCTTTCGCTGGTCTCCGTCCCTCTTCCTACCGCAACTAACAAGCTACTACTTTCTGTCTCTGTTTCTGTGATGGCGTGGCATGCATGCGTGTGTGTGCAAGTGTGTGCCTCCCGGCATCCACGCCTGTGCATGACTGGCTGCGTGATGCGGCTGGCTGTGCATTGGTGCATGCGGTGTGGCATGGTGTGCATCTTTCAGTGCGTTTCAGCAGCGTGCGCAGGCAGCGACGCATTGGGGGCAACGAGGAGAGCAACGACTGCAGCAACTGGAGCAGCAGCAGCAGCGACCGTGGGTGTGTTTCGGAGTAGCCTGGAGCACGGGCAGCAGCAGCGTGGTGCTTCTTCGGGCCAAAGCGTGGTGCCAGAGCGGCAGTGCAATGGACGGTGCGAGGTACGTGGTAGGGGGTCCTTGCAGGGGGGCAGGGAAGTCAGTCGTAGGAGTCGCCGCGCAGAGGCAACAGTCGTGTCTCTTGCCCTTGCCTCCTCCATCACTCGCCTCCTGCTGCTTCTAACCCTCCCTTTTGTGTGTGTGGCGCGTCGCTCCTGTGTCTGTGCGTCTCCCCGTGCGTGTGTGTGCCTCATTGTCTGTGAGGCGGAGTTCAATGGCAGGGGGAGTGGAGGGGCCGTGGCATGCGTGCGGGCTTCGTTCGTTCCTGGCCGACACACAGCAGCGGCGTTTGTGACGCAGATGGGGTGGCGAGGAGAGCAACGAGTGCTCATGGAGGTACGTGCCAGGGGGTGCTTTCAGGGGGGGCAGTGAATTGAGTCGTAGGAGTCGCCGCGCAGAGGCAACAGTCGCTTGCCCTTGCCTCCATCACTCGCCTCCTGCTGCTTTTAACCCTCCCTTCTTTTTTTGCTTCTGTGTGTGCGCGTCTCTTCCTGTGAGTGTCTCTATGCGTGTCTGTATCATATGCTGCTTCCAGGCCTGTGCATTAGTGGCCGTGTGATGCAGCTGTGGCTTCGTGCACGTGGTGTGGCATGGTGTGCACTGTGAGGGTGTTTCAAGAGTGTCAGAGCAGCAGCGCAGAGGGGGTAACGAGGAGAGCAACGACTGCAGCAGCCACGCACCCTGGAGCACCGTCAGTGTGTTTCAGCAACCGGCAGCACCTAACCTGGAGCACTGTCAGCAGCAACAGCAGTGGTACGTGCCAGGGGGTGCTTTCAGGGGGGGCAGTCAAGTCAGTCGTAGGGCGTCGCCGCGCAGAGGCAACAGTCGTGTCTCTTGCCCGTGCCGCCTCGACCACTCGCCTCCTGCTGCTCCTAACCCTCCCTTGTTTTGTTGCTTCTGTCTGTGTGCGTGCATCTCTCCCTGTGCGTGTGTGTGCCTGGCGAGACGGTGGGGAGTGCCAGGGGTGGGGGGGGATGTGCATGCGGGCTTGGTTCCTCTGTGCGTGTGTGTGTGGAGCGGAGGGGGGGGGGAAGCTAAGGGGTGCTTGTGTGGGGTGCCTGTGTGTGCTCAAGGCGGCAGTGGCAGCAGCAACTGAGGGCAACGGGAGGATCATAGCAAGCACACAAGGAGTGGTGAGTGGATCAGCATGCCACTTCTGCATCTCTCGTTTCATGCTTTCCGCCGTGCCCTTCTGTCTTCCTACTGCCTACTGTCTTCCCACAGCAGTCATGTGTCCTCTTTGATTACCTCTCAATCCCTCCTCTCCTGCCCTCGCGCTTTCGCCGCTGCCCTTCTTTCATCGCCAGAAATGAGGCGCCTCTTTTTTAGAGGCAGTACTATGGGCTGCTGTGGGGGCAGCAGCACCAGTGGAGGAATGAGCAGCAGTGAAGGGGCGCACCTTTTATTCGACCCAGCAGCATGTGCAGCAGCTGTGGCAGTGGTGGCAACGATAATGGGAGCTGCAGTGGTTGCAGCAGCAGCAAGCCAGTGAGTGAGTACAGCTTATTCTAAACCTTCCAGGTTTCCTCTCTGTGTTGGTTGTTTAATACCGCCTGCGCTCTTATGTCTTACCCGTCGCCCTTCACCCTGTCCTTGTTGCTCGTTCTCCTTGGGTGTCTGCCTATCTAATATCATGTTCCCTCACCCCTTTTCTCTCGATGTCTCTTTGCCCTCTCTGGGAACCAACGCAGCGGCGCAGAGGGGGTCGCGATGGGAGCACGGCTGCAGCAGCCAAGCACCATTGCGCAGCATTGCGCAGCAGCAGCAACAGCAGCAGCAACAGCAGCAGCAGCAGCAGCTGATGCGGACGAGCAGCCTGGAGCACGGGTAGCAGCAGGGTGGTTCTGCGTGGGGAGAAGGCGTGGAGCAGGAGCGGCAGAGCGGCGTGGTTAGGTATATGCCAGGGGGTGCTTGCAGGGGGGAATTGAAGTGAGTCGCCGCGCAGAGGCAACAGTCGTGTCTCTTGCCCGTGCCTCCACCACTCGCCTCCTTCTGCTTTTAACCCTCCCCCCCTTATTTTTTGCTTCTGTGTGTTCGTGCGTCCCTCCCCATGAGTGTGTCTGTGCGTGTCTGTATCATGTGCTTCCTAGCCTGTGAGCGAGTGGCCGTGTGATGCAGATGTGCATGGGTGCATGTGGTGTGGCATGGTGTGTGGCACTAAAGTGTTTCACGAGCGTCACAGGCAGCGACGCAGAGGGGGTAACGAGAAGAGCAACAGCCGCAGCACCCAAGCGCCCTCAGGCACCTAACCTGGAGCACTCAACCTGGAGCACTGTCAGCAGCAGCAGAAATGGTACGTGCCATGGGGTGCTTGCGGGGGGGCAGTGACGTAGGGCGTCGCCGCGCAGAGGCAACAGTCATGTCTCGTGCCCTTGCCTCCTCCACCGCGCGCCTCCTGCTGCTTCTAACCCTCCCCTTCTGGTGCCGCGTCTGTGTCTGTTGTGTGCGTCTCTCCCCGTGCGTGTGTGTGCCTCACTGCCTGCAAGGCAAGTGACAGGGAGTGGACGGGGGTTCACATGCGTGCGGGCTTCGTTCCTGGCCGACTCATGGGAGCAGCAGTAGCAATGGCTCCTTGACTTGCATGTTCGTTCTGCTTCCTCCTCTGAAATCTTGCCACTCTTGCACGCGTTTCTTCTCAGCCCTCAAACCCCTCCTGTCCTGCCCTCTCGTCTTCTCTGTACTCCCTTCTTTCATCATCAGAAGTGAAGCACCTTTCATCCAGAGCCGCAGGAACAGCAGCAGCAGTGGAGGGGTGAGCAGCAGTGACGGGCACCAAACTTTGTCCAGAACTTGGGCAGCAGCGGTGGCAGTGGGGGCAGCGTCAGCTGCAACGACAATCACAGCTGCCATTGGTTGCAGCAGCAGCAGCAGCAGCAACAGAAGCAGCAATGCAATGAGTGAGTACACTTTACGTATGAGTGCATCCGAGCTCGCTGTATGTGTTGGCTGGTTGGTTATTATCGCCTGCAATCTTCTCCAGGCTCCCCTCTACCTTATCCTTTTCTTTTGCCACCCTGGCTTCCATGTCTTACTCGTCTGTCGTCTTCCTTTTCTTCTCTTTTTACCACCCTGGCTGTCTGCCTTTCTATGAACGAAACCACCTGAATGAGTTGCAATGGCACATAACAAATTTTACAGTAAGCATTGCTTATGTCCCCTCGCCCCGTCACCCTCCATGTCCCTTACGTGAATCAGGGCGCTGTATGGTGGTGGGCCATTATGAGCGTTCCTTCCTACAATGCGAAGACAAGGCAAGGCAGAGCTGAAGATGGGCCTCTGGCTACTGCTGCTCTTCTTTGCTGTTCTGTGCTGCATGTGTAGCTATGCTTAGGTGTGCTTAAATGTGCTTTGTGTTGCGCTGTGCTGTGCTGCATGTGTCTGCATGATATAGAATAGGTGGGTGGGGTGGGTGTGCGTGCAGCCTGGAAGGTGCCTGGGCCCTTGCAGGGCAGAGCGTCCTCCTGCAGGTGCTGTGCGTGCCGTGATGACTTGGCTGATGACTGGCACGGGGAGGACTTGGCTGCTACCGGCCAATCGACAGCGAGTGAGGCTCTGCCACATGGCAGGGCACACGCACACAGCGCCGAGTGAGAGTGAGGGGAAGCACACACAGCCTTGATGAGGTGAAAGTGACAGTCCAGACCACCCATGCGGTGAAGCATCCACCTACAGAACAAGCCACTGCGAGTAGGGTTGGCTCTCGCACCAGGAAGTGCTGACATTGGTGTCATCAGCAATGACAACAGCACGACAGACACCCCAAACTGTAATGTTATCAGTGTGAACACCAGACACATCACATCAGGCACAACAGCCATGTCATGCTAACACCTACAGCAAAAGTGTGAGAGGTTGCAGCCATGTCGCTCAATGGTCATGCCCAGCCACGCAGCTTCTTCGGCAATAGATCTTTGTCCTGTCAGCCGTGCCACATCTGCAACCGGTACGTTCGCAGATTGCCTATCTATTTAGTTGTTGGTAGTACTACTACCTAGTCCTCTGCCTCATCCGCACCATCAGCAATTTCACACCATAAACCAGCAATAGCACCATCCAATCACCAAAGAGATGCATGAACGCACAGAAAACATCCCAATCACCTGCACCATGGCACTAACAGGTACCTCATCTTACCGTACTACCAGTTATGCAAGCATACCCTAAGCATGGCTACATGCAGTTGCCAATGCTGCATGTCAGCATCACAAGAACCCCACGACGTGCCAGCCTATGGTAATCCATCTCTCATCCTGTAGCAACCGCTCCCGCACAACCTTTTCAGTCCATCTTGACTGGTGACCTGCTTTTCACTTGTCGACCACTACGCTGGGTAAAAATAGCCCCTCGTTACCATCCACCCCTTGGCCTGACCCAGCACCAGCCTGCTGCCAGTGAGGTACACTTTGTGCTCCACACAGCATGCCTTCCCACACTGTCCCCACGCGTGAAACAGCCCCCCTCGTCTCAGCGGCACATAAAATCTCTTCCGGGCAACAACCCGTACATGAGCCAACTTCTCCTTCCAGCCTTTCTGAGCCATGGCTCACGCGTGCCTGAGCAGTACAGCGTTAAAGTGAGTCCACATTCCGATCAGTTCATCTGCACAGAAGCCACACTCCAGGGGCCGAGTCGCCATTTGGTGTTCCGCCTTTCATCCAACCCACCAGGCCTCTGTGCCTCGCCTTGACCTGGGGCAGAATTGGTCACATCACACTTGCTCGTGAAGCAACCTTCTGAGGGCCGCAACAGCAGCAACTCAAGCGGAGCAAACATCCGATTCTGTGATATCCTTGACTAACTCGGTCCTCATCCTCCACCCCTCCTCCCTCCGTTTCTCCTTGTGCCGCACGAAAATCACCAAATCACACGCATGGTAAGTAAAACGGGTCAGTTCGACTCTGGAACAGGAGCGCATACACAAACCGACGAGAAGGGGGAGAGATAGAAGCTGCGGAAGACAGAAATACACCTTCTTTCTTGAACTGCCAGCATACGCTGACGAAGGCACTAAGGTTGTCAGAACGAGAGCTGAGAGCCGCCAGCAGAGTCTCGCCTCCTCCTCTTTCCAATCTTACCCCCGTCATTACTACTCATATGCTCGATACGACCCAGCTACCTTCCGTCCCATTCCAGCATTCCATCCGATCCCATCCATCCCATCACAGCAAATGACATGACACATGGCATCACATCACGGGCACAGACAGCCCCCCGAAGCCTTCTCCTCCTGCCCTTCCCATGCGAACCGTGGCCATGCCCGGCCTGCCGCCCTTGGAGCCTCTGGAGAAGAGCCGGTACTCGCTCTCCCCGCCGCCCGCCGGCCCGATGCCAGTCCAAGCAGTGTGGGTGCGAGGGCAAGCGTTGCTCTCGACTGGCGGTGCCTCGTGAACAGGGGCGCTTCCACGGGGCAGCACGGGGAAGTGGAAGAGCGAGAAGTCGCCAGAGGAGCGGCGGTCGTGCAGGACCGGCGGCTGGTGTTGGATGCAAGAACGGATCGTGGCGCCGCACTGGACAGTGTTGCGCGACGCGCCTCCGACACTTGCAGAGCGCTCTAAAGCAGCCGCCTCACTCGCACAGGCTCGTGCCTCCCCCCAAACCCACGGCTCGGGGTCACCGTACCCGTCAAGCCTGGCAACGCCAGCGGCCATGACTCCTTGGATGGGCGCAAGCCCAACGCTGCCGCGCGGTTGCTGCTGCGAAGACTGGCGAGTCTGCGGGTGACCGTGCTCCGGAATAAGAGCTTCTGCAACACGACAACGCGTGCTCGCCACAACGGGTTTCTCGTCGCTTGCTCTAACGTCATCTCCCTCGCTGATGACGTGGACGTCGCCGAGTTGGCGCCAGCTGTGATTTGCGAGGTCGTACAGGGCCTCCTTATAGTCCGGCTGCACTGGAGGGTTGGACGACGCCAGGGCGGCAGCCATGGGCGACTCAGCGGCCCAGTACGCGTCTTCCTCCCTCTCGTAATCCGCCGCGTCTTTGACGCGCGGCGCGCACGAGGTCATGTGGCTCAGGTCAACCTCCTTCAGCACCGCGTCCTTCACATCCACGTGCCCATGGCCGTCCCGCTGCCAGGGACCTTGTGGCGTGCCAGCGGGATCTGAAGCTGTGCTGGGACTCATGCTCGCCACGGATACAGGATGCGGCCGCAGACCGAATGTTTGATCGCTCGGCTTTATCGAGGTCTAGCGCTACTGTCCGTTGTTGAAATCTGTTGAAATGATGGTTGTAAAATCCTGATCAGGTATGAAGTAAGGCCAGCTGAAATCCGGTCTGATCAGAAGATAAATCGTCAGCCAGGATTGCTTCTAAGCAAAAGAGGAACAAACCCGTTAACGATTCACAGAGTTAGAAGCTCAGAGAGAAAAGAAGCCAGATTGATAAAGCGCTTCGAATGTAGTCGAATGGAGATGATGCAACTGAAACAAGGTGGATCAGGTAACTCAAACGAGAATGGGTGAGGGTTTGAGTTGAGGTAGGAGGAAGATGGAAGGGTGATCGCAGATACAGTTCCCCTGTGCGCGTCCAAGGCGTTTGCATACTGCTGGCATTTGCCTCATTTTTCCCGGCTTGTGATTCCAGGGAATCCGCAGTCATGTGGAATTTGAAGTTCCTAGTTTGAAATTCGAACAGCCAAACTGTGATTGACGGACGGATCGACTGGTGAAGAAGCGCGAGCCCTGTGAGCGACACGTGCCTGTACTCGCGACCAGCGTGGCATCGCGCGAATCCCGTAGGAGAAGTGGACACTTGGCGACGACTGTTCATGCTCACTTCTCCAGCTATTGGTGGGAGCCGCAGCTTTTCCCATTTCACCGCGATGAGGATGCACACATGCGTTTTTCGTTCTCACTTCGCAAGCTCGGAGATCAAGCTGACAAATTCGGATTGGCATCTTCATTACCCGCTGCGCGATTGCGATAATGATCAGCCAAGAGTGGATAGGGCAGCTGGATCAAACTGGCTACATGAAAACAATGCACCCCCCTGAAGAAAGCTGTCAATTGCTAACTACACCCCTACAAGTGCACCAGGAACACCAACACAAGTGCACACTACTGAACCAGAGAGGAACCCAGTGAACCATTATGTAGGCTTGAAAATGTTTGAAAATTGAGATACATGGAACCAGTTAGTAAGTCAGTCTCGCAGACATGTTAAGCATAAATTACCTGGGCCATTTCCAGGAAGCAGGGAAACGGAGTGAAAAAAAAAGGGGGGAACAATAACTAGACACTGCAGGTATGCGTGCTGAACTGGAACAACTGGCTGTGAGGGAGCATGGACAGAACGGTGTAGGGAAAGTGCAAGTGGGAGATGAGAGAGGGGTGTAGTGCATTCTGCATGGCTGAAAATGGTTGAGCTGAGTGCCACGGGTTGTAGTCACCTTCACGAAGGTAAATCACCAGTCGGATGTCGTACACTGTTTTGGTTTGCTGAAACTGCGTCCTTATCCTACTTCTCCTTGTAGCTCCTGCCACCCTTTTCCCTGTCACGGTTCTGCTCCTTCCCTTTCTCCAGCCTCTTGGCTTTATCGCGGCTCTTCTCCTTGTCCTTACCGTCCTTGTACCGATCTCTGTCTCTTTCTTCCCTGTCCCTGTCCCGCTCACGTGTCCTCTCGCCTTTGTGCTTGGAACTCTCTCTCCCTTTCTCCCGGTTCCTCTCGCTATCCCTGTCCCTCTCTTTCTCTCTTTCTCTATCCCTATCCCTATCCCTGTCCTTATCCCTATCCCTGTCTCTCTCCTTATCCCTATCCCTGTCTCTCTCCTTATCCCTGTCCCTACCTTTGTCTCTCTCCCTCTCCTTATCCCTGTCTCTGTCTCGTTCCTTACCCCTCTCTCGATCTTTCTCTCTTCCTTTCTCCTTATCACGATTTTTTTCTCTTTCTTTATCTCTCCCCTTCCCCCTACCACCACCATCCTCCACCATTGATTGAGCTTCAGCTTTCGAACCTCTGCTTCGCTCCCTATCATCCTCCTTATCCCATTTCCCTTCCCGCTCTTCTTCCCACTCCCTCTCTTCATACCTCTCCTGGCGTCTCTCTCTTGTCTTACCACCGTCTCGTTCCCGTCGTCTCTCCCTGTCCCCACCGCCCTCGCGTGCCTGCTCAGGATCCTTCCTTCGGCTCTGCTGATCCCTCTCCTTCCGCTTCTCCTTTCTCCGTGCCTCATCACGCTCATGGCTCCTCTCTCGATCACTGCTTCTCTCCCTGTCCTTGTGTCCATGTCTCTCTTTGCTCCTCTCCCTTCCGCTCTCCCTTGTGCGCTCATGCCGATCTCGCTCCCTCTCGCTGCCTCTCCCATGCTTGCCATCCCTCGCCCGCTCCCTCTCCCTCGCCCGCTCCTTTCCATGCTCTCTGTGCCTGTCCTGTTCAGAATACGTGTCTCTGCTCTTTGATCCCCGCTTCTCCCTGTGCCTACTCGAGCTGTCACAGTGCCTGCTGTCCCGTTCTCGACTTCTATCCCTGTGCTTTGACTTTGGCTTTTCACTTTCCCTGGACCTATATCTTTCTTTCTCTCGATCCTCCCTGCCTCTCTCCGGGTCTCGGTTCCTCCCTTGTTCTTTGTCTCTCGCCCCGTCTCGATCCCGATCCCTCGGCCTAGCTCTCTCCTTGTCTCGATCCCTCTCTCTGTATCGATCCCTATCGTCATCCCAATCTGTGTCATCCTCCCTCACTCTGTCTCCGTTGCACTTAGCCCGGTCACTATCCCTCTCCCTCTTACTCTCCCTCTCGCCCTCCCACAGCTCAGCGTCTACTCCTTCCCCATCACTTGCACTCCACCCATCTGAACCCTCCTCATTGCCACTGTTATCTAAATCACTTATCGAAACACTCCTTTCTCTCAGCATGCCAACCAACACATCCGTGCCCACTCGCGCACCCCCGTCACTCTCCACCTCATCCCGTCCCCACGCCGCCTCTGACCCTGAGCTGGACCCTGCGCCATCACTCCGCTCACTATACACATCCTCCTCCTCCTCCTCGCCCTGTACCGCCTCGTCATCGCTCCCCTCCATACTCTCCTCCCACTCGCTCCCTGACGGTCTCTCACCGCCCCTTCTCCCACTACCCTCGCTGTCCATCTCCCCCTGCTGCCCCCTCGCTCCCTGCATGGGCAGCATGCCTTCGCGCCGCATCACCAGCGCAATGCCCTCGCCCATGCCATCACCCGCCTCCATCCCCTCATCTTCTGCCCAGCTCACGCACGGCGACTCCAGGGGCGACGCCGAGTCAGCAGAGCCAGCAGACGTGTCCCGGCTCATGGCGGCTTTCACGGTGTTGAGGCTGATGCTGCGCGCTGCATGCACCTCACTCTCCCCACTCATGCGCCCCCCTCTTCCTGCCCCCATCACCAGTGCTGCAGCCACAGGGGCGTCCTGTGACCTCTGCCGCAGCAGCTGCTTCCTTCTCTCAGATCGCACCCTCTCACTCCCACTGCCACCAACACCCACAATACCGCTGCCCCTGGTGCCAGAGGCGGCGCCAACAGGCATGCACGGCACCTCTGCTGCGCGCTGCAGCTCTCGCACTCCGCGTACCTCTCGCTCTCTCCTCCCTCCCTTGTCCAGTCGATCCCTATCCCGCCTTCTTGCAACACCATGCCCTTCCCCTGTGTTATACATCCACGCGCCATCCACACTAGCACCAACTGACAATGTCCCTTGCCCGTTCTCAAAGCTGTATCTCCGAGATAAGTAACCCGAGCCCTCGCCTTCCCACTGCTGCCCATTACCGTACTCTCCTGCACGCCCTGCCATGTACTGCTGTTCGCCCTCGTACTCATCCACAGCATCCCCACTCGCATACATATCGCCACTCGGCATAGCCTCATACTGCTGCATGCTGCGCGAGTGCCCCAGGGACGACCGCACGCCTCCTTGCCCCATGTGCCCCGTCGCCTGCCCGCGATGGAAAGACCGGTACGAGCTCACGTTTTCCGCCGCATACCCCATGGCGTACCCACCCCCTTCGCCCGCGCCGCTGCCAGGGTCAGCGGGCAGGTGATACCCCCCATGGTTATAGTCGTGGTGGGGGTGGTGGTGTGGGTGGAGGGGCGAGAGCGGGAAGGCGGAGTCAGGAGCGGGGTAGAGCGGGCGACAGAAGGCCTGGTCGTCTGGGATAAGCCCTGTGCCTGACCCGTATGAGTCGTATGAACCCGCTACCGCAATGCCTGCTGCTGCAGCCGAGGGCGGAGGGTTGTAGGGCTTTGCGAGGGTGATGCTGCCAGGCGCACGGGCAGCAGCCAAGGACGATGGAGGCGCGGCAGCAGCGGTGGCGGATGCAGTGCGATGGAGAGGCGAGCGCATGTGGCCCCCCGGGAGCGCTGCTGCCCCAGAGCCTGTCGGCGGCCCCACACCGCCCCCAAAGCTGACACTGCTCTTCAAGCGTGGCTCGCCGCGAGGGGACTTTGGGAAGGAGGGCGTGGGGCCATGGCGGGCGGGCATGGGCGAGTGGAAGTCAGGATGCACAGGGAAGGCGTGGGGGAAGGCGGCCGTGTGGTGATGCGGGGAGACAGGCATGGGGGAGGGCTGGGGGGAGGCGAACGGCTGCGATTGGTCGAACATGGGAGCCTGGGAGGAAGGCAAGGAGGTGAGTGGGGGGTGGGAGTAGCGTGAGGCTGGACTGGGGGATCGAGACAGGGGAGACGTTGGACGGAAGGCATGCGGATGGGTAAACGGGCTAGCAAGCGAGCAAGGGGAGAGAGGGTGAGGAGAGACAGGGTTGGTGAGATGAGCGTTGTGCAACATGGCTTGTTGGCCTTGTCCCCCCACGTATCCACTCCCAGAGCCCCATGCTTTGCTGCCTGCCTGGCTGCCAGTGCCACTGCCACTACTCCCACTCACACTGCTGCTACTCGTGCTACTCCCAGGGATGCTACTGCCGCTGCAAGTGCTGCTGGTGCTGCTACTGCTGCTAATCACCCCCCCTGCCCCGCCACCCCCGGCGCCACCACTGCTGCTGGTGGCGGCGGCACTGTTCCAGCTCCCTCCAAAGCCATTGGCAGGCACGGTTCCACTCAGCGACTTGGCGTGGGGCAGGGGGGAGCGCGGGGGGAGATTTACAGGCTCCGTGGCGGATGGGGGGAAGCGTGCCCTGGCGGCACCCCAGGTGGGCGTGGCGGCGGGGGAGAAGGGCGCGCCTGCATCCAGGCGAGGCGACCGCAAGCGCTCCTCACTCTCCCTCGCCCCGTTCCCCTCCTCTCCTGCCTCCCCTGCGCCCGCTGCCACCCCACCACGAGCAGCACTAGCCCCAGCGCCTCCAGCACCGGCAACCCACTTCCCCTTGCCCATGGGCCCCTTGCCACCGCTCACAGGTGCCACAAGCGGGGTAGTGGCAGCTCTACCAGCGTAATCGCCTACCGTTCTCCCCTGACCCCTGCTGCTGCCGCCCTTCGCCCACTCCCCTGCTAGCCCCGGGGAAACGGTGCCATCTGCATTCCAGCTGGCCCCTGCTGCTGCTGCCGGCACAGCTGGTGGCGGGGTAGAGAGGCCGGCAGCATAGGAGGAGCGCAGCGCGTGCGTGGAGAGAGAGCGCAGCGCCACACGCTGCTGCCCTCGGCTGCCGCCTAACGGGGTGGCGAAGCCAGCTGCAGAATCGCCGTCAGTAAGAGCAAGAGCAGCGTGGGCGTGAGCGGCAGGGCCCGGCGCCCCAAGCAGAGGGCTGGCAGGTGCCATGGCAGCATTGCTGTCCGACCCCCACTGGGGTGGCGCCGCACTGGTGGGGTTGGAGGGCGACGCATAGATGGGCAGGGACACCAGGCGACGCCACGGCGCCGTAGGTGCACTCCCTGCAGCTGCACTAGGATCTGCCATGCCCCGTGCCATTGCTGCTGCTGCTGTTGCTGTTGCTTCTGCTGCTGCGGTGGAAAAGGCTTCAAGTGGTCGCTGTGTCTCTTGCTCCCTCTCCTCCTGCACTCGAATTCTTTCCTTCTCCTCCCACTCCCACGCTTCCATCTCCCCGTCCTCGCCACTCTCCTGTGCAGCGTGCACCACATTGTCTGCCTGCCCCTCGCCACCACGCCGCGCCTCAGGCTCCTCACCGCTCACAGCGCCAGAGTCCCCCCCTTGCTCCCCTCCCTGCTCCTTCTCCTTGTCCCCACTACTCTCACAGCCCTCCAAATCTCCGTTTTTGCAACCCTTTTCCTGCTCAACTTCTCCATCTGCTATCATGACATTCTCACTATCCTTCTCACTTTCCTTCACCTTCACTTCCACTTTGCCTTTCTCCTTCTCTCTCTCCTTCTCCTTCTCTTTCTCCTCCTTTTCCTTCCTCTTCTCTTTCACTTTCTCCTTTTTCTCCTTTTCCTTCTCCTTCTCCTTCTCCCACACCCGTGCCTCCCTGCCCCCCACGCCCTTGCTGCCAGGAGTGCCCCCAAGGGCAGCACTGCCAGCAGCCATGCCATCCAGGTCGTTCAGAGCCGACAGCAGCTCGCTCATTGTCTTCCTGCCCGGCCTCCTGCCCCCAGCATCTGCCCCGCCACCAGCGCCAGCAGCAGCACCAGTGGGCGCGCCCCTGTCAGCGTCTGGTCCGCCTCTCATAAGCCCCACCACCTCTGACCGATGCCGCAACAAGCGACCGCTGCTGCTGCCGCTCGCTGCCCCGCCCCCACCCCCGCCCGCAGATGTCCCCGCTCCCACACCCAGCCCTCTCACTGAACTTGCTGCTGACCCTGTCCCGGGTGCAGCGGCCACCGCAGCAGCAGCATCAGTCGCCACAGTGGCAGCAGCAGGAGCTGGCGTGACAGCCAGAACGGTGCTCCCCACGTCTGTCTTGGCGCGCCCCACAGGCAGCGGCGGCGTGGCTCGCGCAGTGGCGCCTCTACCCACACCCTGCCGCGCATCCCCTTCGCCAGCCTTGCCGCCCGCCTTGGCCTTGCCTGTCACATCATCTGCACTGGACACGCGCGGTACAGTTCCCTTCCCCACCTGCCCTGCTGCTGCTGCAGCGGCTGCGGGCGTGTGTGGAGCAGCAGCAGGCACGTCTGCTGTGGCTGCAGCCATGTGCACCTCCACCGAGGCCAGCAGCTGCATCAGCTCTCCCTTCTCCACGCGCCTGCTGCCCTCGCGCTCCACTCGCCACGCCTCCCTGCTCGCCTCGCGGCTGCCTTCTCCGACCCGCGCTGTGGCGAGGGCAAGCGGGCTGTGCCGAGCAGGGCTCAGCTTCGGACTCCGTTCTGACCTGCCCTCGCCCACACCCTCACCCACCTTCCTCTGCCCTGTGCCATCTGTCTCCCCGTCATCCTCCGCCGCCCTCCTTCCATCGTCCTCATCGTCCACGCCTCCCTCCTCCTCCTCCTCCTCCTCTCGCTCAAACCGTCTGCTCAGCGTGCGCCTGCCGCGCAGCAACGCGCCAGCGGGCACGGGCAACCCCAGGGGGTCGGCGTGAGGGCTCTTAGCGAAGCCCATGAGCGCACTCACATCCGACGACCGCGACCGCGCTATGGAGCTGCTGCTGCCGCCGCCGCCGCCGCCGCCGCTGCCGCTGCCAGGCGCGCCCGCCCCCTTCTGCCTGGACGACGCCACGGCGCCTCGCCTGCCCCTGCCCGCCGCCACCTCTGTGAGCATTTCCTCGAATACTAGGCGCGCCACACTGCTGCGCTTCGTCATCAACCCCACGCCCCCGGCCCCACCAGCCCCCTCCCTGCCCCCAGCACTGGCACCGCTGTTGCCGGAGGCAGAAGCAGCAGCAGTTGCTGCGCGTGCGTCAGAGGCTTTGCCTTTCTTCTTGCCCACGCGGCCCCTGCTCTTCATGTTCATCTGCTGCTGCAACAGCTCCATCAACTCAGACTTATCCCCCCCCTTGCCCCCCCCCACCGCCAATGCGCCCTCGCCTATGCTGGCATCCTCCCGTCCCCCTAGCCCTGCCAGCACGCGGCTGCTGCTGCTGCTGCTGCCGTCCACCCCGCGCCTGCGCCTGCTGGCGCTGTTGCCAATGCTGCGGCCACTGCTGCGCAACGCCGCGCTGGTTGACGGGGCGCTTGTACTGCCGCCCGCTGTGCTGCCGCTTGAACTAGCTGCAGCAACGGCTGGTGAAGTCGCATCTGCTGCCGTTGCTGCGTCTGCTTCTGCTGGTGCCGATGGTGCTGCTGGTGCAGCTGGCGTCGGTGGTACGGGAGGGTTAGGAGTAAGTTCGGTGGTACTGGCAGCAGAGGTGGACGTAGCGGGCAGCGAGGGGGGCACGCTGGTGAGGTTGCCACAGTGCTCCTTCAACCAGCGGTGATCTGGGGGGAGACAGACCACAGGGGGCGAGCGAGGGAAAGGGCTAAGCAGGGGGGGTGGCATGGGAAGGAGCATAAGAGGCAGAGCATTGAAGGAAGGAGTGCAGAGGGAGGGAGGAGTATGACGGCCGGCACTCACTGAGAGCCTGCAACGGAGTGATGCGGTGGCGAGGGTCGAGGGTGAGCATGCGCGACACGAGGTCCTTGGCGTCTGCCGACACGCCCTCCCACACGCCCGCGCTCATGTCCACGTGGCCCGCCGCGATGGCCTGGAAGATGCCGTCCTCGGAGGGCGCCCAGAAGGGCGGCAGGCCCGAGAGCAGGATGAAGAGCACCACGCCCACGCTCCACATGTCCGCCTCCACGCCGTACTGCGCCGCCAGCACCTCCGGCGCTATGTAGAACGCGCTCCCCGCCATCGCGCTCAGTGCCGCACCTGCAGCCGCCGGGTGGGGGGGGGGGGGGGGGGGGGGGGAGGGAGGGGGGTGGAAAGATGCGGAACGGGTGGACGGGTGGGCGGGTGGGTGGGTGGGCGGGTGGATGCAGAGCGAGGAAAATGGGAAAGGGAGGAGTACGGCACACATCCCATGGCATGGCATGGCAGGCAGAGCACCCACGCACCTGGCTGAACGAAGGTGGCGAGGCCGAAGTCAGCGATCTTGACGTCTGTGTGCGAGTCCGGCGACACGAGCAGGATGTTTTCGGGCTTGAGGTCGCGGTGCATGAGCCCCAGCGCGTTCAGGTGCGCCACCACGGACAGCAGCGTGTGGCACACCACCGCCGCGTCGCTCTCGGGGTACCGCTGCCGCTGCAGGATGCGCTGGTACAGCTCGCCGCCCAGGCACACGTCCATGAGCACGTGCACCCACTGGCGGTCCTCGAACGTGCCGCGCAGCTCCACGATGGCGGCGTGCCCGCGCACCGCCTGCATGACCGCCACCTCGCGCCGCACGTCCTCCACGTCGCCGTCGCCCTCCAGCTTCGCCTTGCAGATCGACTTGCACGCGAGAGTCTCGCCCGTGGCGCGCTCCGTCGCGAGCCAGATGACGCCGTACTGCCCGCGCCCCAGCTCCGCGCCCATGTGGTAGCGGTCGAACACGTTCGCGTACGCCTTGCCCAGCACCTGCTGCGTGTGCTCTGCCTCCTCCCGCTCCTCCGCCTCCTCGTCGCTATCATCCGGATCCGATATATCCGGACTCGATAGCGCGGACACGGCCTCCTCGGCCCGCGCCCGTTGGTGCTGCTGCAGCAGCGACTCACCCGCCACGCCCTCGTGGGCCCCGCCGCTGCCGCCGCCGTGCTCGCTCCCGCCCACGCCCACACGGCCCGCGCTACCAGCGCTCTCATCGCCGTCGCTGCTGGTGTCCCCGTGCGCGGCCGCACTGCCGTACGCGGGCGGGCTGGCAGCAACGACGGGCGAGGCGAGGGCGCGAGGGGCGACGGGCGATGACAAGGAGGCGTGACCAGGCGACATCATGGCCATCACCGGGGCTGCCACCCACCGCTGCGCACTAACGCTCACACTCACCGCTGCTGCACGGCAGCCTCCGACCCCCCCTTCCCTTGCGCCTAAAGACTCGATTCCGTACTGCCACACCCTGGTCCGCCCGCTGGCGCCACGCAGGTCGCCTCACTGCGCCGCTCCTGTATTCCCGCCCACGACCTCTCCCGCCCCACCCCACATGGCCCTGCTGCCGCCGTCCTCCCGCGCTCACGATCCCCACACGCGCAGCTTGGCCGCGCGCCCCTTGCTGTCTCCCGCCTTGCTTCCGCAAAAGAGCACTTTCCGCTACTCACGCGCAGACGCATCCCGCAACAAGCAACGGCACGGGATCAGGGTGTGGCGCGAACAGGCGAGAAGCGCACGGGAGATTAAATTGAGGGGCCATGGCCGTGCCCGCACTGCAAGGTTCTCCAGGTAAAGGCTTAAACAAGTTTACAAGAGCCAATCACTTCGGAACAGACGATCGTTGACAAGCGCACATCCCGCTCGAAACCGCTGACTACACTTAACTTCGCAACCGTCGCAAAGAACACTCCGGCATTAGCTGCGCACAAGCTCTGTCACGAAACAATAACTAGTTACCATACTGTACACGCTGGAACCCATTGGCTTGTCGGAGAAAGGTCAAGGCGTCGTGGAAGGCATGTTAGGGTTGGTGGGAGGTGCTTGTAGGGTTAGTAGTAGTACATAGTGCACACAATGTGTAGTCTCATGGGCTGAGCTCCCTCAACCTAATTATTACCACTGGGACTGGTTACTTTTCACTGCGCACCATTATTACCGCACCCCATCCATCCGAAAGCTGGTTCGCCATGTGCAGCTCCCCTCGTCACTCTGCTTGCTGCTTGCTGCTTCCCACTTACGGTACATCCCACCCACAAACAACCACAACTGGAGCAGAGCTGACCATGTAAGAGTATAAACCCGGGATTTGGACGACTTTTCCGTGTAAAGTGTGAATAGTTGAAGCGCACAAGGTTTTGAATTATGGTAAATAAATTTCTAACAATATATAGTTCACATATTTCTGATTCTGCAGGCGGTGACTTGGGTGCCAAGCCAAGCACATCAGCTCATGCATGGATGGAGGGGTGTTTGTTCGGCCCGGCCTGACGCAGTGCAAGGCTTTTTCAACGTCGTCGGCTGCTACAGTAACGTGCTGAATGCACTCAAGGGGCCACGAGCAGTGGGACTGTTCATTGTTTGCCATGTGCATTGTCAACGTTATTGCGGTGCAATTCGGTTCCCAGCGTACTTGTCAGATACTGAGATTTCCCACGACTTTGGAAGGGTTGAAATGACAAATGACACCACGCCATCGATTCAGCAGCACCCCGACGGTGGGGTGGTGCGGGCGTTACTCGCAGCTCTTTCAAGCTCCATGTCCAAGTTCCTTCCGTCACCCATAAAGCACATCAACCTTTACCAGAACAGAACAGCTATTTTGGTGCTGGGGTTTACTAAACTGGACGTTAGACCAAGAGCAAGCGGGAGAATCCTAATCTCGGAACCGTTTTGCTTGCCTGGAGATGCAGTGCGCTGGGCAGTGCTACACAGGAAATCACCTTCTCCCGTCATCGCAATGTGTCTCGCGTACTTCCTGCGCTCGCCTCGCTCGCCGCGTCACGCACTGGCTTTCCTCCTCCTGCTCGTCGCCGCCCACGCCTTGACTTACTGTGAGTGCGCCTCGCGCCGTTCCTGGCCCCGTCCACGCATGTCTTGTCCGCTGACCTATCGCCGGGCCGACCTTTTGATGCGCTTCCTCCCCTTGTGTTGACCGCAGCCACATGCGTCGCAGCGCCTGCCGTCTGGATGGAGGGGGGGCGTGTTACGTGGCAGCAACTGCGAAGCTTGGAGTGGCCGCAACGCCAGGCGCTGGCGTGGGCGTGCGCGCGGTCCTCTTCAGCGGCGGGTGCGCGTGAAGCCCTGGGCGCGCGAAGCGGAAGCAGGCGGCCGTGGTACGCGGGAGTGGCGGTGGAAGGGCGGCGGCGGTTGAGCGGCGGGCAGCGGGAAGCGTTTGAGCGGCGCATGGAGGCGGAGCTAGCGGCCTTGATGGCGCGCCCACCCGCGCGGACGAGAGGGGTGGTGGGGCGAGGGATGAAGGAGGTTGCGGAAAGACAACAACCCCGCGTTGGAGCGCGCGGCCTGACGTCCGCGGAGTTGTTGTGGGCGCGGCAGAGGGGGAACGAGCATGGCGGAAAGGAAGATAGCGGAGGAGCAGCGGTAGAGAGTGAGGATGGGGAGAGGCGGTACGATATGGCTCAGCTGTGCGCTCAACTGGATGAGAGCCTGTCGCCGCGCTCTGTGGTGGGAGGGGCGGTGGCAGCACAACAACAGCGCATGGAGGCCATGGTGGGTGTAGCGCAAGGGGGAAGCAGCGATGGGCGGGAGCGAGAGAAGGCGGCGCTGTTGGAGTTCCAGGCAGCTCTAACCCCGGCGTCACAGAAAGTGCTGAAGGAATGGTCGCTCACGTCGCTGGTGCCGCTGTGCGGCTGGACCGGGGTGGTGTGCTCCAACGAGATAGGCCTACCGGACGCTGCTAACGGCACCACCACCACCGTTGCTGCTGCCTCTGTCAGCGCTGTCAGCGCTGTGAGCGCTGTGACCAGCACCCCCAACCCAAACGCTGTGGTGGGCCTGGTGTTGTCACAGCTGGTCCTGCAAGGCACCATCTCCTCCTCCCTCGCCGCCCTCCCCTCCTTGCAGTACCTTGTGCTCTCCGACAACGCCCTATCCTCCTCCATCCCCTCCGCCATCGCGCTCCTCCCCGCGCTCACGCTGCTCGACCTCTCCATCAACAAGCTGTCCGGCACCATCCCCGCCGCCTTCTCCCGCCTCTCCGCCTTGGTCTCCCTCTCCCTCTCCAACAACCAGCTATCCGGCACCATCCCCGCCACCCTCGGCGCACTCCCATCCCTCTCCTACCTCTACCTCAACGTCAACTCGCTCACCTCCTCCATCCCAACAGCTCTCGGGCGCCTCTCCATGCTCTCGGAGCTGGCGTTGGGCACGAACAATCTCTCGGGCAGTGTGCCAGAGGCGCTCTCAGCGCTCACAGGGCTCCTCATCCTGGACCTCGTCACCAACCGCCTCTCAGGGACGCTCCCCTCGCACGTCTTCTCCGCCTGGTGCCGCGTCGCCTTCAGCATAGAGATCACCGGAAACGCCTTTTCTGGCCCGCTGCCGGACTTTACCGCGTGCACGGGGCTGGTGTGGCTGGATGCGGGCACGAATGGCTTCAGTGGCAGCATGCCGGCATCTGTCAGCCACATGACCTCGCTCGAAACGCTCATCCTCCTCAACAACTCCCTCTCAGCCTTGCCACTGACAGGCCTCGCCTCGCTGCCGGCCCTGGGCCAGCTGGACCTCTCCAGAAACAACCTCACCGGCCGCATCCCCCCGTTCTGCGCGTCGCCCAGTTACACGTGCATGCGCAGCCTGCGGTTCAGTGGCAACCAGCTGAGCGGGCGCGTGCCAGCGTCGCTAGGCAAGTGCGAGCTGCTGGAGAATCTCTTCCTGGACGACAACCGCCTCTCGGGCTCCCTCCCTGCCTCCTTCCGCATGCTGCGCCGCCTGCGCCAGGTGCGCCTGGAGCGCAACAAGCTCTGGGGCCCACTGCCTCTGGCACGCCTAGAGAACATCACCGAGATCTGGCTGGACGGCAATGCGCTGTCCGGCCGCATACCGCCCGACCTGAGCTCGGCAGAGCGGCGCTTCATCTACTTCTCGGCCCCGCACAACCGGTTCAGCGGGCCGCTGCCGGCGTCGCTGGGGCGCCTGGTGATGCTGGACCTATCCTTCAACGCTCTCACCGGCGCCATCCCACGCGCCTTCATCGCCTCCACTGCCAACCTCTCCGTGCTGCTGCTCCCGGGAAACCGCCTCTCCGGCTCCATCCCTGCCCGCATCACCGCGCTCACCGCTCTCAAAACCCTCGACTTGAGCGGGAATGAACTCGAGGGCGCCCTGCCGGAGAACCTTGCAGCGCTCTCACTCCTGCAGGAGCTCTCCCTGGCCAGTAGCAACCTCACAGGCGCCATCCCAGCAGACCTTGCACAGCTGCCCGCGCTTGTGCGCGTTGACCTCAGCAACAACCGCTTGTCCGGGCCTATCCCTCAGTTCCTTGGTGCCGCCCCGTCTGGGGGCAGCGGTGCTGGAAGTGCAGGGAGTGCGAGTGTGGCGCAGCTGCTGCTGGGCGGCAACGAGCTGGCAGGGTCCATCCCTGACGGCCTCTCCACACTCACACAGCTCGTCGCCCTCAATCTCTCCGCCAACCGCCTGTCGGGCTCGCTGCCCTCGGGCTTGGCGGGCCTGCAGCAGCTGTCGGTGCTGGACGCCTCTTGGAACGCACTCACCGGCTCCATCCCTTCCACCCTCTCTTCCCTCTCGTCCCTCCGCTCCCTCAACCTCTCCTCCAACTTCCTCTCGGGTCCGATCCCCGCCGGCCCACTTTCCGCCCTCCCCGTGGCTTCCTATGCCAACAACTCCGCTCTCTGTGGCCTTCCCACCAACGTCCCCTGCTCCCTGCCTCCGCCCTCCTCCCCTCCTCCGGGAAATTCAGCTGGTTTGCCAGCAGCCGCAGTGGCAGGCATTGTGGCAGCGAGTGTGTGCGCGCTTGCCGTGGTGGCAGCAGCACTGTGTGTAATGGGGAGGAGGGAGGTGGAGAGGAGGAAGCGGCTGAACGGGTACCTGCTGATAGTGAAGCAGGCGCCAGTGAAGGTGACGGTGGAGGGGATAGTGGAGGGCACCAAGAACTTCAGTGACTCTATGCTGCTGGGCAAGGGCGGCTTTGGCAGCGTCTACAAGTAAGCCTGGGAAGGCTGGGGTCTACGCTACGCCCCCCTATGTGTGTGGAATTGTTGAAAACAGGTTTCTTACGATTATGTGTGATGCGATGCGACCTGGTAAGATCTGCAACCACAGCATACAAATTTCTTGCTCACGTGACCGCTGCACGACCCACATGAATGCTAACTCCTTCCCACAGCACACTGTCCCTTCACTCATGTCCCCCGTCCATTTGCCTTCCCCTCCCCCCCCCACACCCCCCTGTGTGCGGCACCAGGTGCAATGTGCCCGGCACGCAGTGCACACTGGCCATCAAGAGGCTCCATTCGTCGCTGCCCCTGCTGCACTCTGGCTCTCCCGCTACCACGGCCATGGGCAAGGGGAGCAAAAAGGGCAAGGGGAGCAAAAAGGGCAAGGGGAGCAAGAAGGGCAAGGGGGTTTCAGGGGAGGATGCGAGGGAGGCAGCAGAGCAGCAAGCAAACAAGGAGGTGCAGGCAGAGGTGCGGACGCTAGGGCAGCTGGAGCACCAGAACCTGGTGCGGCTGTACGGGGCATATGTGAACGTGGAGGCAGGGGACAGGTGGCTCATCTATGAGTACATTGCTGGGGGCAGCTTGGAAGACCTGCTGAGGAGGAGGAGGGAGGCTGCACCCGGGGTAGGGTTCAACAAGTGGGAGGCGAGGCTGAGCATTGCGATGGGGTTGACCAAGGCGCTCAAGTACCTGCATCATGAGTGCTCGCCGTACATCATTCACCGCGACATCAAGCCCTCCAATATACTTGTGGTCGAGTCTAGGAGCGCTCATGGGGGGCAGGAGGGTAGCAGTAGTGACGGTAGCACGGTGGTGAGTGGGTCGGGAACAGGGACTGGTAGTGGATCAGGAACAGGGAGTGCCAGTGGGCCAGGAACAGGCAGTGGTAGTGGGTCAAGAGGGACAACAGAATCTGGTAGTGGGAACGCAAGTGGAAGTGGGACGGGGAATGGCAGTGTGAGTGAGAAGGATAAAGGTGTAAATGAGCCTGGGAACAGCAGCGGCAGTGGTGCTAATACTGACAACAGTGGTGCTGGCAGCAGTGGTGCGTGCAGCAGCATCGACGGAGGTACCTATTCAACCTATGGCAAGCCATGCACGGTCGATCCAAGGCCTTTAGGAATCCCTAGCAGCATTGGCAACAGCACTGCAAGTGAGCCTGCAACAACAGCCAAGGCCATGTCAGGGAGCACAATTGCTTCCAATAGTTCCATCCACCTGCAAACCGCGCCTCCTCCGCACAACTCTGCACTGCCGTCCTTGCCCTCTGCCTCCTCCGCCCCTCATCTGCTTCACCGCGAGCCAATCAAGCTTGACCCTCTCTCCTCTCCAGCAACTTCTCATCCCACCCCGTCTTCTTCAACCCAAGCATCTGCACCATCACTACCCTCACCGCACCCCTCCTCCACCACTCTTTCCTCCACATCCCTGCCTGCGGCCCAACACACGTTCACGGTGCGAGTGGCTGACTTCGGCCTGGCACGGCAGGTGGACGTGCGGGCATCACACATGTCCACGGCCGTGCTGGGCACGTATGGCTACATGGCCCCGGAGTATGCGCAGCGGGGGAGGGTCACCACAGCCACAGACGTGTTTGCATTCGGGGTGGTGCTGCTGCAGCTGGTGTCAGGGCGATCGCCATACGACGAGGAGGTGGAGGATAGAGGGCTGGCGAGGTGGGCCTTCTCCTCGTCTGTCTCTGCCGTGCTGGACCCGCTGCTGGGGCCGTCTGCGCCCACCAGGGCAGTGGAGGCCGTGCTGAGACTGGCGCTGCGGTGCACGGCGGAACAGAGCCAGAGACGCCCGTCCATGCTGGATGCGTGGACGTACCTCACGAGCCTGCATGATGTGGTCGCGCACATGCAAGGCCAGGGCGGGGACGGCCTGGATCTGTCGCTAGAGCAGCAAGGCATGGCGTGGGATGCTGGGGGCGTTGGGTCTGGGTCGACTTCTGTACTGCCTGGGAGCAGAGCGGATGAGGAGGACAAGGGTGAGAAAGACAGTGACGCACACACGAGTGGGACAGGGTGAGGTTGGGAGCTGTTGTGGTGCTGAAACTGCTTTTTTAGTGCAGGATAGGTACTACTGGGTTGTATACAGTGATGGATGATATCTTAGACCACACGTATCACATTGCGCTACAAGTCAGCATACTAGGACCAATGTCAATTCCCCTTTAAACGTGTGTGGTACGCTAGTGTATTATGGTCCACATGTAAAAGGATATTTTATTAATTCATACATACCCAATAATTTTTTTTGTGACCAGTCAATTCGAAGGACGTACCGTATCGGAACCATTGCATCCTGCAAAACCGATGGTATCGAGGGAGGCTTCAGTGGTAACGAAAGGCAACCTCGAGAGTCCCTGCGGGAGCACATCTGCATGAGCACATATGCTGTACCACATACTGGACTAGTACCTAGCCTAGATCTTGCCAGTTTGAAACGTTCAAAAGAAGCATATGGCCTCACTGAACCCTTGTGGGACTTCTCTGCGTGTTCGCGAACTTCGCGCCATCGACTCGCCCTGTCACGAAATATTCGCCTCAAGCTGCAGTGGCGTGACTTGATCTCGCAAGTGAGTTTCAGACTGTTCTCGCGGAACTGATATGTTAACCGCGGCGTGGTGAGGCTTAGCAGAGTCTCGTCTTGCAGAGAGCAGCTCGTGGCAATCGAAGGCGATCTCAGTAATCCAAGGGGATCTCAGTAAGCGACGGTGATTGCTTAGAAGCTCCAGAGGACCAAAGGTATTCGCAAGAGTAAATTTATGCGATTCGTTACCTCTTTCCTGGCCATGCTTGGCTCCTACCCTCACGCGCGTAAATCTTCTGCCGCGTTAGGTCAACTTGGTTGCAGGAGCACTGCCGAGGAGGCAGTATTGCTCATGAAGGCTTGTGAAGGCTCATGAGGGGCTTCTGACGGCTCATGAGGGGCTTCTGACGGCTCATGAGGGGCTTCTGACGGCTCATGAGGGGCTTCTGACGGCTCATGAGGGGCTTCTGACGGCTCATGAGGGGCTTCTGACGGCTCATGAGGGTTTTGTGAAGGCTCATGAAGGGCTTGTGAAGGCTTGTGATGCCTCATAAGGGCTTGTGACGGCTTGTGATGGCTCATGACGCCTCGTGGCCCCTCTTCCCCTACCCACAGGTGCACAGTAAGGCGGCTCTTGTATGAGTGCATCTTGCTGTGAGTGGATGACTCATGAAGGTTTCTGAAGGCTAAAAAGTCATCTCCCTCTCCCTGTCCCTCCACTCTCCTGCCCTGTCCCACCCTACCCTGCCCCTTCACTGCCCTGTCTTGTCCTGCTCCCTCCAGCCTCCTCTCTCAACGCTCCTGGCAGCGAGGGCAGTAGAGCAGCAGCAGAGGACCAGCGGCCAGCGCAGGAAGGGAAGTAGCTGCCCAAGCTACCCTTGCCAGGTATGTACGATTTTCTGGTCGCTTGCGCTGCGCCTCGAAGGGAGAACGCCCCGTGGGTTGTCAATGGGCAGGAGCAGCCGAGATGAGGATGTCGTTGAATGATGAATTGATCGGAGTTGCTGGGTATCGCAGCCACTAGGTGCCTGCTCTAACCTCCTCTTTCCGCGCCATCGTTGCAGGTGGCCAGAGAGGGGACGGACTCATCCGTTCCCTTGCCTGTCTCCGCCCTCCTTCCCCTCCCCGATTTTATCTTTCAGCTAACTCCCCCCCTGGTGCAGTCGACATGCTGCCGGACCCTCTCTGGCTTCGAATCTTCCACTATATGTACCTGTCGCCCACCCTTCATGGTATTGAGCTGCTTCGCGAAATGAATTTCGGGAGGGCGCGGATGGGGACTGGGGTAGATCGAGATGCACTGGTGTTCCGTGAAGAGGGCCTCCCAGCCAACCAGCAGCACTGGATGAGTGGTCGCATGTATGGCGAATCATGGGCTCTACTTTGCTGCGCTCTAGCCAGCAAGAGGCTTCTCAATCTCGTCGCTGATTTCTCTGTAAGCTCTCAATTCTCTTTTCTGCCATTCGCAGATTCCCTTAATCATTCTCGTATGGCGGACCTAGTTTGTTTTCCACGTTCGTTAAAAATCAACCTCTCAGCCTGACCGTCAAGTGCGTGCAGCCATGAGTATTATCTTTCAAAGTTTCCTGATTTCAGTTGACAACGTTTCTCACAGCCACCAGCAACAACACTCCCCCACCCACCTACAAATCGCAGGAGATCAAGCCCATATTGCTCGTGTACAACGAGCAGCATCCACAGTGGATGCAGACCGTCCGTTTTTTCCTCAACCGCGCAGGCCTCCATTCGATTTACCTCTCCTTCTCCGAACCCGAGCATCTTCCCACTCTCGGCGCCTGCATCGCTCACAGCAGCCCCTCCCTCACGTCTCTCCACCTGCAGCTGCAATCCACTGCAGCACTTGGCTTCTTTAATGAGGAGAATTACAGGCCATGGGCGCTGGGTTTTCTCAAGGAATGCGCCCAGCTGCGGGAGCTGAATCTGGGGTGGGGCATGTGGGATCTCGGCAAGCAGTCCATCAACGTGGCGTGGCTCAAGTCAGTCCGCAAGCTGACCCTCTATAGGGTGCTATACAGGGATGCGAGCCTTCATTTCCTCGAGTCCATCGCGCCGCAGCTGACCGAGTTCACGCTGACGGAGGATGGTGACCTGCAACTCCTTGGTCCCTCTCCTGTCTCTGATGGAGTGGCCTTATCATTTCCCAACGCCCGTTTCCTCCGCTTCCGCTTTGCCAGAAACGAGCTGAAGCTCACCCTCAAAGCCTCGTCCACGCTCAAGACTCTCAGTCGTGGCCAAGCGGCTTGACCTCTCCTGCAAGAGCACTGGCCCTCTCGCTCTCGACCATCTCTTGCTGTACGGCCAGGAGCGGCTCGCCATCTCCTCCCTCCCTCTTGCATCCGTCAAGGTTGCTTACTTGGACGGACTGTGTGACGATTCGGATAACCTTTTTTGGACCGAATGGCTAGGCACTATCGCACCGACAGTGGAGGTGCTTATAGTGAGCCATGGGGTTCCTGTAGAGAAGGTGAACGCAGATTGGAGGAGGCTGTGTAGCCTTGGGATTACCGTGCGCTTTGGTACCGGTACGAGGAGTAGCTGGAAAGGGGAGAATACTGTGGACAAGGATTGGCATGAGCCTGACGAAAGAAAGTGCCTTCGGAAGTGCCACGGGGAAAACATTTGTGCCACGCCTCTTTGCATGCGTGCTCCAAGTCTGCGGTTCCTCTTCTTCCCCTCTTGCAAGTGGCAGGAAGCCCCCACACTGGCTGCACTCCAGCAGCACTACCCCGCCCTGGCGCTCTACTGTGTGGTGGACTACTACTGGGAGAGAAAGGGTGTGTGTGTGAGGGATGGGCCGCTTGAGCATCTGAGGACGAGGACAAAAGTGGTGGAGAAGATGCACAGTGTGAACAGGACGCTGGTGGAGGGGTATTGTGCTGAGGAGGACCAGGTGTACCTCCAAGTCTCGGCAGCTTGCGCCCTTGTCAGTTCGGTCGGTTATACCAACCAGTAACACTGTAGATGGCATACGGAGTCAGGACAAGGTATCTCACTGTTAAGGCGGGCTGGCATTCACTTTCTGTGATTACATTGCATGCTAAGAGACTTCAGTGTTGTTTCTGTAGTGTAGTATCCGCATACAATACTGTAAGGAAAATTCCTTTTCCTTACTTCGCGTCCCCGCTCAGCGCGTACACCACTGTAGCCCCACAGTCAGCACCGATACCACTCTCAACTCTCGCATCGACAATCCTCCCGCCACCTTCGCACGTCGCACCCCGACCTCACGGCTCGGCAGGTGACCCGCGCTCCGGGCCTCCGCTTCGATACTTTTCCCAACCTCAGTCCCAGGCCCGTCACGCGACAACCACAGTCCATTACCGTTACCACTGTAGTTTCGCTATATATTCTTCGCTCATGCCTTCGCTCATTGTATTCTTGCTTCGATAGTGCAATTCTCGTTCGTTCACTCAATTGCACTCGTAACAAATACTCATATGGTACCCAATTGCTCTGGGAACGTCCATATTACTTCCATAGCTTGTCCACATATTATTTTGCAACCAGCACTCATCGTGGCTGCCTGATTCGTTTCATGGTCGCTCCAGCAGATGTGCTTCGGCCTGAATAAATCACTCACGTCACTCGCTCGCTCTTTTACAACAGCCTTTGTAGGTCTGCCAGAACTCTCAACAGACATTTCTTCCGTGTTCTGATCATTCAACTCGTTCTGATTGGACCTGCTTCTGGAGGTTCAAACGCCAGTGCCGCTGCCTGTGTTCCTGTAGTAGCTCCTCCAACAAACGCGGTCGCTTAGAATGGCGGCAGGATCTAGCGACAGCAAAGGCGCGGTGTTCTTAGAATCAGAGGCAAGACGACGGTGGTGAGGAAAGCGAGATCGTTGAGGAGGAGGGAAGGGAAGGCAAACGGAAAAGGATCTTGGGCTGGGGGAACGGGGGAAGTGAGCAAAGGCGGAGCTGATGTTTCGGAAGCCCGCTTTTTTCCAATAGGTCGTGTTAAGTTGCTCCCTGTGTCCTCCATCCGTCCCCCTCTCACTGCGTCGTCCCGTCTGCGTGTGCGTGTGCGTGTGTGCGTGTGCGTGTGTGAGTGTGCGTGTGTGCGTGTGCTCGTGTGCATTCGACTGTGTGCATGTACGCAGATCGAGTTCATAGCGGAGAACGAGCTGGTGTCCATCGTGCCCAACTTCCGAGCCGACGCGCTGCACCTCCACGCCGTGAGACGCGCTACCTCCCACACCGCACACGCACACTCACATCTAACCTCGCTCGCCGTCACATACACACACAGATTCGCGTTTTCCTGATACACTTCACGTGCGCTTTTCTTATGCCGGCCTTCTCAACCAACATACCCTGTCAACTGTCCATCCACCCCGTCGTTCTGTTCCCTTCCTCCTGTTTTCAGGGCGACATTGGGCCGTTCAGGCCTCAGATTGCCCTGCAGGTGCCGCTATGGCTGGCCATCGCTCTCAAGAAGCGCGCCAAGTGCTCCATCCAGCCGCCTCCCTGGCTTGCTGCAGGTGACCCGCGTCCTCATCCCCTTCCGCGTGCTGTGCTGTTGGCAATGTTTTTATCCCAGTGATTCTGTGGGTATAACGCGGACACATGCTTGCAGTTGCTGGTTGATGTCTCTGCCTGCTGTCCTGTTCTGCACGATATAAGTGGAAACGTGGCGCTCATGTTTGTTGCGCTTTTTTTTCTTTCTGCAGATCGGTTGACAGAGATACTGGAAGCAGAGAGGGAGAATGAGGGCTTTCAACAAATGCCTTTCCACTATATTGAGATCTCCCAGCTCCTCTTCTCAGCAGAAAAGTAATTCATCCATTCCTCCATTGCTGGACATTCCAGTTTGACTCTTGTTCCTCACCATCCTTCTTCTTTCCCACCATCCTCACCTTTCCCTCCGACTCTCTTCCACGCCTCCCCTATCCCCACTCCACATTCCTCGCCAGGCATGGCGTTGACATTCCGGATGCATACAAGGTGAAACTTTCATTCTCACACCCCGACCTTTAGTATTTGACACCCGTCACCTAATGTCACCTCCCATGTCTATTGTTGACGTTTCCTACCTTTATACTGTCCACCTCAATCCTGTGTACTTCCAATCTCACTTTCTTAGGTATCTCTTTCTGCACCGTTATCATGAGCTTTGCCCCTCCATTGAAACCATCCACTCCACTGTGTCCAGTTGCGTGCATTGCTGCAGGACATCCGAGACGTGCGGTTCAATAAGATACACCAGGGCCTTAAGAAACTCTCTTCTGCCACAAACGCTGTCAAGGTGTGATGAGGGGGGGTTGTTAGGTTCTGGTAACTATTGAAGCACATGTGATTCCTGCTTTACTGTTGTGTGAGCTTGCCTGCTCCTGTCACTCCACAATACGCTCAATTCTGCTCCTGTACCATCTTTCACCCCACCAGCTTGTGAATCTGAGTGCCATGGAGGCCAATCTGGTGAGACCATTCTTCTGCACCGCCCTCAAGGAGGTCATGAAGAGAGAAGCGGCAGCACTGGCACAGCAGGAGCAGGAGCAAGCAGAGGGGCAGGGCCAACAGCCAGGGCAGAGCCAAGGAGCCAATGATTCATAGTCGCCTGCTTGCTACGCTTGCTCATTCTAGTGAAATTCATGACTAGGAGAGCTTGGGGATGGTACCACAATGGGAGACCCCACATTGGTCATTGTACATAAGGTAGTTGCATTGCATATTATATCACATGGCATGTGCTTGTGACGCCACGCTGTTCCGTTAGGCAGGAAGAACTCAAATAACATAGACCTGTTAGAGTACCGTAGGTCTCTGTGGTACCGGCATGTATCAAATAGTGGTCACATACAATATAATGGCATACCTATTGCAGCATGATCATCTACAACCAACCACATAACATGACAATCCTTCATAGCTATGGCACTTGTACGCATAATGTTAGTGCCAAAAATGAAACGTGTTATCTTCACCCCCCACCTTGTTTGCCCCCCACCCACCCTCCAGTTTGTTACACAAAAGCTCAGACGTACACCCCCGTCCATAGGAAGAGGAAGAGAGTGCCAAAACCCTGATTAGGAAGGACAAGTTGTCAGAAACATCATTGGAAACGCATCAGCATAAGTATAATGAAACGGCATCAGTTGGAAAAGAGACTCCAGGGGTAGTAAAGGCAATTACGAAAGGGGGGTAATGAGTGTAGCTACCGGTACTCACCAACAGCACGGACGCAATGGCTGAGAGGAGTAGTTCTCTAACCAAAGATCTGCTAAATTTCGAAACGGTGGCTTCATAGCTGTTTAGGGGGAAGGGCACGAGGGTGGGAGAGAGAAGGAAAGGTTACAGCACGAACCCAAAAGAGACGACGTCAGCCTGCGAATTTAACTGGCACGTCGGCGAATCTGGATGATGCGATACCGTTCGCACTCGTTCTGCCAATCATTCATTCATACTGATCGCGTCGCAGTTCGTGCTCGTTAAATCGAAAGAAATGAGTGACAGTTCGAGCACGTACACGAAGAAAGCTCCTGTGGCGATGAGACCGGCGGTGACGAGCGCGACGGCGAGCAACGGGTACATCGATTGAGGCACGGGACTGGTCAGAGGGGAGAGGAGAAATAGATCCTGTATAGAAAAGGAAAGGATGGGGAAAGGAGGAGGGTGCGAGTACGAGTATGAGATCTCAAATAATGGGAGTGGGAAGAGTGGGCATGGCAATACGCGACTTCGACGATGTTGCGAAGCCACTATCAGCAATCAAAGTATTGCCTTTCACCATTCAGAACAGCAAACGCATAAAATCCTACATGAAAATGGATAGGTCTAGCCAAGACTACGCTTCGCGCTCATGGTCGAACTAGCCAATGACCTACTCACTTGAGATGAAGGCGCCATGTTCAAAGCTGTAGATTCCGGTGCTCTGCAGCTAGATCGCGTACAGCAAAGTCACTTGCTTCAAGCTGGCAGAAAATAGGGAGGAATTGAAAATAATCCTAGCGGAACAGACGGGGATGGTCCGTGAAAATGCGGATGTGTGGATCTGAGTGGTAGTCGCGAGCACGATTGTCATCTGACGGAAGTGGTGGCTTTTGCCAGCATCCGAGCTCAGACAAGGGTGGCTGCAATCCCTGGAAAAAGACGTTGCGTTACGATATATAATATGCAGCCTATCAGGTAGCCATGCAAATTTTATATATCCAAGCAAGCAAAAAGGTGTCGCAACCTGATGTGGGCTTTAAAAAATACACTGTAATGCGTTCTCTTTATTTCCATATGAACAAAGGAATATACACGACCTAATGAATAAATACATAGCATGGATATTCTCTAGTTGTAGTGTCTCATTTGCCTCTTAGGCCAATCAAGCTTTGCACAACACATGGGTCCGCCAGCGTTGTAAGGTCGCCTGCAGATATTCGGGACGACGGGATGCGCAGTAGTTTACAAAATGGGAATGATACCGTAAGTAAGGACATACAAGACGGGAATAATGAGTGTGGTCTACAATGGTCCCGCATTCTGCCACTTACCAAGTGCTTCGATGTCATTAGCAGCTATCTTGCGCAGTACACGACGCATAATCTTTCCAGACCGCTGCTCAAGAAAGGAAGGGAATGTGTTAGTTAGCATGTGCTGGTAGATGAAACGAATGCCAGCATTTGCTACTGAAATGGATGCTTACAGTCTTGGGAAGGCCAGGAGCCCAGTGGATAACATCAGGGGCAGCGAATGCCCCTATGTGCTGACGCACTGCTGACTTCAGCTGCGCCCTCACCTCGTCAGACTGCCCAATTCTGAAAGATTAAGTGCAGAGCAGATATGAAGACACCGTAAGGAGAAGTGAAATCCTGGAAAGGTACTGACCAGTCAGTAAGGAGCAAACTGTGGTGAATACAGGGGCCAACCAGACAAATGCTTACCCTTCCATGAGTGTGACAAAGGCGTATATGCCCTGCCCCTTGATGGGGTGCTCATATCCCACCACTGCTGCCTGCAGTGGGGATAGCAAAAGGTGGTCCATATGCACACACAGTACCAGGGAGAAGGGTTACGAAGTTGTGCAAGTAGTGTTTGTAAGAGAATGGTCACCTCTGCACAAGCTGTCAAGCATCATCCTCTCTTGTACAGCTTACTAGTTTGCAGATGCAGCCACGTTCACCCATCCGCCCCTGCGATCGCGCCTGCCCTTTCTGAACCCGCCTCTAGAAGTTTGAACCCTGTCTCACCTCAGCGCAGATGTCATGGGCCACCAACGCGCTCTCCACCTCTGCTGTCCCAATGCGGTGACCACTGCACGAGGGCAAAGGGGGGCAGCGAGTTGGGGGAGAAGAGAGATGAGGTCACAGCACAGCCGAACCAGAAGGACGCGTGGGGCATACATGGGCGGAGTGGAGCATGTGTGGGATCCATGTAGCAACCGGCAAGCATGCAATGCGTGCGGGTGGGCGGCGGGTTATATTTACCTGACATTGATGACGTCGTCCACCCGGCCTGTGATCCAGTAGAACCCATCAGCATCCCTGCGACAGCCGTCCCCGGAGAAGTAGTAGCCCTGGGGGACACAGGGAGGCAGCAGGGAGGAAACAGGAGAGTCCACGAGTGAGAAACCCAAAGATATGTCCCACATTGGTGTTCGGGGGTGATTGCGCAAGACGTGGGTGAAGGAGGCCTGGAGAGCAGTGGCAGAGAGGTGATGAGCCTGATGGGAGGTGATGTGACTGAGAACGGTGGGCCATGAGAACGGTGGGTAAGACACCAATCCCAAAAGGAAAAACTCGAGAATGCTAAGGCGGAACATACCGGGAAGGGCGCAAAGTAGTTGGTTTCGTAGCGAGCATGGTCGCCCACAACAGTGCGCATCATGCTGGGCCACGGGCGCTTGATGCACAGCAGCCCTGCTGCCTCCTCGCCCTCGCCTGTGGCTATCTCCCTGCCCTGCTCGTCCAGCACCACCGGCTCCACGCCAAAGAAGGGCAGCGTGGCGCACCCGGGCTTTAAGGGCATGGCGCCCGGGAGAGGGGTGATCTGAGAGGGTGAGGGGAGAAGGGAGGGAGGCAAGGGGGTTAGGGCGTGTGTGTTTCTCTGTGTGTACGCACGTGCATGTGCGATTGCATGCGTGCATGTGTGTGTATTCTCTTGTTTGACTTAAGAAGCACCCCAACAACCCATTCATCGTGTGGCCTGCTTACCATGATAGCGCCTGTCTCTGTTTGCCACCAGGTGTCAACGATGGGGCAGCGCCCCCTTCCCACTGCAGAGTGGAACCAGCTGGTGAGACAAGGGAGAGACATGGGGGAGGAGGGGAGGGAGGGGCAGCATGGAGAGGCGATAACGTGAGGGACGGAGGTGCAGAAAGTGTCCCATGGTGCACAGTTGTGCAGTGTATGGTGCTGGAGAATGGTGCATGGGACATGCTGTATGGGTTCTTACCGCCATGCCTCGGGGTTGATGGGCTCGCCCACACTCCCCAACAGGCGCAGAGACGCCATGCTGTACTTGCCAGGCCACTGCCAGCACAACGAGGGGCAGGGGCAGGCACAGGGCCGGAGAGATTGATACATCACGAGGGTTGGGATGAAGCAGAGGCCACATAGCAGGAAGAATGGTGCAAGTGCAGGGGGAAGAGTAGTGAGGAAGAGATGGAGGGCTAACCTGGTCGCCGCATCGCATGAGGGCGCGGATGGCAGTGGGCGCCGTGTAGAAGACAGTCACCTTGTACCTGATGGCGTGAGGCGAGGAGCAAGGGCAATGAACACAGCAACGCACGCACAGAGAGAAGGATACAGGAGCAAGTTAGCCCAAGCCCTGAAACAAAGGTCCAACTTCAATCAAGATAACACGCAGGTCCCTTGCCATGCCTCACCTCCCACCCTTTCCTCTCCCTTCTTATGAACCGCCATCCCTCCTCCCCCATCGTGCCCTTCCCCCATCCCCCCTCCCACCGCGCACGCACTTATCAACGACGTCCCAGCAGCGGCCGGCGTCAGGGTGCGTGGGCACGCCTTCGAACACCACCATAGACGACCCGTTCAGCAGCGGCCCGTACGCCAGGTACGTGTGCCCCGTGATCCACCCGCAGTCCGCCGTGCACCAATACACGTCATCGTCGTGGTGGTCGAAGATGTATTTAAAGCTCGTGCCCGCGCCGACCATGTAGCCGCCCGTGGTGTGCTGCACGCCCTTGGGCTTGCCGGTGCTGCCGGACGTGTAGAGCAGGAAGAGCGGGTCCTCGCTCTCCATCCACTCCACGGGACACGTGTCGGGCTGGAGACGCACCGCGTCCTGCCACCACACGTCGCGCAACGGCTCGAATGGCACGTGGGAGCGCTGATGGGATGGGGGGAGATGGAAGCGGGGGGAGACGGATGGAGGACGGGAGAAGGGGGCATTGGTGAGAGTTGTGAACCTCTGCAGATGCATGTGTGCAAGTGCGCCTCAAATTACGTGCCTGGGATTGTGACTGTGGACATGCGTGTGCGCGCTCCCGTGTGCGCGTACGAATACGGCGAGGCAAGACACACCAAATTCACCTCCTCCGCGCCATACCTGCATGGCGAGGTCGTTATCGAAAACGAGCACCGTGCTGGGCTCCAGGCGCGCGGCGCCGCACTGCGCGACGGCCTCATCGACGATCTTCTTCAGCGCGATCAGCTTCGTCCCGCGCATCACGGCGGACGCCGTCAGCACGACGCGGGATGCCGAGTCCGCGATGCGCCCCGCGAGCGCCTCCGCGGAGAACCCCGCGAACACCACCGAGTGCACCGCGCCGATGCGCGCGCACGCGAGCATGGCGGCGGGGAGCTCGGGGACCATGGGCAGGTAAATGGTGACCACGTCGCCCTTGCGCACGCCCACGCTGCGCAGGTAGTTGGCGATGCGGCACACCTGCGGTGCAGCCATGGAACGGAAAAGGATGAAAGGTGCCACGGCAGGTTTCAGTCGGAATACCAGACACTGTCTTACGCAGACACCGCCAGAAGCTCTTTCAATATCAATAACATACAATGCCATGGCGGGCAGAGCGCAGCTCACCTGAGCCAGCAGCTGCGAGTACGTCCATTGGCCCGACACGCCCAGGTCGTTGCCCTCCCAAAATATGGCGACCTTGTCGCCGCGCCCCGCCGCCACGTGGCGGTCCACGGCATTGTAGCAGAGGTTGGTGCGGCCGCCCACGAACCACCTGATGTCCACCGCGCCTTGACGCACGTCCATGTTGCCCTCTTGCAGCACCTGGCGGATAATCGAGGTACGAAGAAAGAATACTGGTTTTCGTAGAGCTGAGGCTTTGGTTCGGAATGCGTGTTATTTCAAACGGCATAGACTACTACCGTAGTGATTCATCGTCAACAAGAAAGCATAACTGCTGCTTTAACGACAGAAAACTACCAGCGACGGAATGAAATGCGTCGACGTACCTCCCAGGGAGTCTCCCAGTGGTATTGCGCCGACATGGCGCCCCAGAAGGCCTCGGGATCGTCCAGCGACTGGCGGTACATGGCGTCGTACTGCGCGCGCGACTTGACGAGCGCGCGCTCCACGAAGCTGTCGAGCGGCTCCACCGGCTGCTCCTCCTCCGTCACCGCCTCCGCTGCCGCCGTGTCGAAGTCCAACATGTTGCTGCTCTCCGCGCTCACTGATCCTTTCTCGCCCAAGAGCTTCCCCGCCATGTCTTAAATCTGATGACGATCCTCGATCAGTGGGGGTGGCGGGTCTTGGAGATGACGCGTAGATTTCTAAGCAAGTTTCAATGGCTGCTTTTTTCCTGCTCGTGCCTTGGTAAGCTTTTTTGCTAACTAGAAGCAGATAATCACGGTCGAGGGGCTTGTCTAGAACTCGCTAAATGAATGGAGTTGTGTGTGAGAGCTTTTCTCGGAGTTGGTGTGAAATGTTTGTGAGATGGGGCATCCATCCACATTTACACGCCGCCGAGCCGCGAGTGACAACGGCGCCGAGAATCAGGCGCTGCATTCCACAGCAAAGCGCAGGTTGACCCTCCCCCACCAACCCAACAGAGGGGGGTGCAGCAAATGCACGCAGGAAATTCCACAACTCAACTGTCGCCCACTCTTCCGTTACCACAATTCTCGTGCTGGAGCCACTGGTTGTTCTTAGGCTGCCCTGCCCTTCTCCTAACGACAGTTGCTGTCTTGAAAAATCGGCGTTTATTATTCCAGTAGAATACTCGAAACGTTTTTCTACATGTGATTTGAGGTCATCCAGATGATGTTTGTTTGGGCAGGTTTCCAAACGAACTCACAAGGAGGAATTACCCGCAAAAATCATTCTGCCACCACGGCACCGGCAAATCGCCGCCATCACATGGCTCTAGCGTAGGGTGAACGTTAGCCGTTCGATCATCCAGCGCATCCATAGAACTTCTCGAATACAGTACACACCTTGCTTGAACTGGTGGTGTCACTGGTGTGGTGAGGCGAAACACGAGCGACCCGGGGTTCACCCCACCATCTCAGGAGATCGTCAACTTTCATGTGTGCGTTTTTTGTAAGCGATGTTCGCTTCCCTAGTGTTTCGAGCTTTATGAACATCGGTGTAGCATGCATGTTCTTCACAGGATATGTTTATGTTGCATGTGAAGAAGGCTAACAATTCTTGTCAGAGCCCATCAATTTCCAATTCTTGTTTCGAGCAAAAACATATGAGGAAGGGAATGCCCTCGAATTCTCGCTGTCACTCCTGACCTTATTTTAGTGACCAATCAGGGAGACTCAGGTCAGGAGTTTCACGCAAATTTCACATAGGGTTGGGATGGGATGCTCGAAAGAGTAGCTTCGCGAACCAGTGATGCGCATGCAGCGTCACCTCGCGAATTCGCCCGATTGACAGGAAACTAGCAGGCGACAATTCTCCTCCTTTCGGTCAGCCAATCAGAGTTCAGCATTGGGATGTTCGCGACAAGGGTGTTGTCGAGGTGAGGGTGAAGGCAAAGAAGTCACATTCACCATTCCTTAGGAACTCCACAGACCACTCACAAACTGGAACTGATTCCGAGGTGACTGCTAGGGCTAGGAGCACCTAGCAGACAGCAGAGTATCGAACAACGCATTTAGCGGCTGCGGAACCGAGCTCTCGACTCTGTTCGCCATGGGTCTGTTAACGGGCCTGCTTCAACCACTATACCGTGGTTGGGCCCTCACCGTGCTTCTCGCTGCTGTCGCCTACTCATTTATCCTGTCTCCTTACTACGCTAAGCAGGTGCTACTCTGTCTACTGTTACGTCTCCTTCCAAGCTCCATTCTTTCATTACGAAAGTTCGTCTCACCTCATTCCTTCGGTCCTGTTCCATTGGTGATGAGCCATCACAGTCATATCTTCGAGCTTGCTTTGTCAATGCGCTCAAATTCTCCTCGCTCAACTCCCTCCTCGTCCTTCCAACTTACTCCCCATAATTCTCGCAGGCGGCAATGTCCTGCAGCCTTCACGACTTCAAGGATTTCGTTCTCGTCAGCTCTCGTGTCGTCACACCCAACGGAGTCATCCCTGCTGCTAGTAGGAACCCCTCGGTTACTCCAATTTCCCGCGTTACTCCGACTCCCCTGCTCGTGTATCTTTTTCGCCTCCACCCACTTCCTTCCATCCTATGTTTGATTCTTCGTTCTCTTTCCCCACCGCTCTCCCGTGGTCGCAGTCACTGTCCGCGATGGCGTCATCACAGCCGTTCTTGAAGGCACGGCTGCAGAATCTCGACCGTCCGGCTTACCCGTTCTGGACTATGGCGATGCTGTGATTTCACCTGGCCTAGTCGACGTGTACGTAGTACAATGACCACCTAATCGTCATTTCCGGGTCCTTCGCTCCTCTATCACAGAATGTTTCCTTCAGCTCTGGCAACTGCCTCTTTCCCTTCTCTCCTCTCAATCTATTGATTACTCCGTTCTCCTGCCTGCGACGCTAAACATTCTCTGTCTGTCTGGTCTCCCTTGTTCTATTCCTGCTTCAGTCATGTTCACCTGAACGAGCCTGGTCGGGAGGAGTGGGAGGGCTTTGTTACAGGCACACGAGCCGCTGCTGCTGGTGGGTTTGCTCACGTTGCGAAGGCGAGGATGGGTAGAGACGTGGAAATCGGGAGCTTTAGGGATAGTTAGGGCCATGTAAATATAATCAACAGCTGGTGATGCTCGGGTTTGGTTAGCTCTGGACTGCATTCAGATACCATATCTGACTCTTACAGCATATGGCAGCTGCTCTTTCCCTCACGCGGCCTGTTGGTGGATGTGATGGCTGGTACCCTTGCAGGTGGTGTGACTGCATTGGTGGACATGCCTCTCAATTCTTACCCCACCACCACCACCATTGAAGCGTTTGCAATGAAGGTGAGGAAGCAACGAACAGGACCCCTTCCTCCCTCCACAACCCACAGCAGCTTCCCCTACTCGCTTTCCTCCAAGTCCGTGTGTCTCTTAATGTTTCCTTCCTCCTTTATGGTTAATTCTGGCACTGGGTGAGGGCATGCTAATGCAAGCAACTCATGGCCAAAAAAGTGGCCATGAATCTCGTGCATGCCAGGAATCTCGACTCGTTCTCTCCAGTCTCGTCCCCTACTTTCTCTCAAAATTGTCCTTTCATTCATTCTGGCATGTCCCCCCTCTCACCTACTCTCCTCCTTCCGTCCCTACCCCACTCTTTGCCCGTTATCTCTCCTATTTCTGCATGTGCGCCAGTACAAGGCTGCTGAATCTAAGATTATGGTGGACGTTGGTGAGTGGCCTGATCCCGACTCATTCTTATGCTTTATAAGTAATTTGAATCTCACGCCTCTGTTTGGTATCCATCCATCCCAACCTTTCGCTTGCTCATAGTATTAAGTACGCTTTCTAATTCCCTCCCTCAATTGTGGTCCGTGGGTGCAGGGTTCTGGGCTGGCCTGGTGCCAGAGAATGCCAATGATTCTCACCAGCTGCAACGCCTCGTTGACGCTGGCGTGCTCGGATTCAAGGTAAGCTCCCCAACGCACTGGTGAGATGCGCGCGTTGTGCATGTAGACTGATTACGGTTCAAGTTTTGAGCTCATGCAACGTTGCCCATTCTTTCCGTACTGATTGGCAGTGAATTTGTATCAAATCCTTTTATCTATGTTCTTCTAGTTTACAATTCCCATTTCCCCCTCCGTCTCTGTCCTTCGTTTGCCTCCTTACAGTCGTTCATGTGCCCATCAGGCATCAATGACTTTCCGCATACCAACTCCTCCCATTTTGAGGTGAATTTTTGCTTTCATACATGCGTACTTGGTATCTTCCTCCGCCATAACCTCATCCCAGATTTAAGTCTCCAGCCACTTCGTTTAATACTCGTTTCAGCTCATTGTTTTCCACCTCACAACGTACCTTGCTCAGGGCTCACTACTTCCCTCCCCCTCTGCTTTCCCACCACAACCATCGCATTCCATCTGACCCATGTCTCAGAGCGCTCTCCCCGTTTTGGCGAAAGCTAAGCTACCTCTGTTAATCCACTCAGAAGTGGTTCTCCCCACACCTGACGCCTCTGCACCTGCCTCTCACCCTAGCAGCGGCAGCGACAGCAGTGATGATAGCAGTGAGAGTGTCAGCAGTGGTGATGCAGAGGAGGGGGCTATCATTCGTCCTGTGGTGGAGAGTGAAGGGGGTTTTGATGATGGGGCTGGGAGCACGGCAGGGACGGAGCCAGAGAAGAGTGACGGAGACCCACGGGTGTATGCAACCTACGAGGCTTCCAGACCTCCCAGCATGTAACAACTTCCTCCCTACCTCGTCACTCCTTCCCGATCGTCATCCTTACTCTCGCTCACAAAAGCACACACTCTTTTCTTCATGGTTTCAGCTGCTGAAGCAGCATCTGTTACCTTCTGATATCCTCCCTTTGCCTGCCACCGGACACCTCTACAGGGAGCGCGAGGCCATTGCTCACGTGCTGAGAGTGGCGCAGAAGACAGCAGCTGGGCAGCCGTGGGAGGGTGCAAAGCTGCACATCGTTCATCTCGCTGATGCCCACTCTGTACCCACCATCCAGGTGTGTTCAGCCACAGTTCCACTGTGTTGCGAACGTATCTTATGTGCATTGGTTATATGCATGCGTTCCTGGGTGATCAGGTGTGCCTGTGTGCAAGCGTGCTTTGCCACCCAACAGTGATCCCTTCGCATCTTTCCCCTCGACTCTTCCCTCCCCTACCTCCCTCTCTCCCTCTTTCTCCATCTCCTGCACGCATGTTCTTTCACAGGCAGCCAAGGCAGCAGGGGCAGCAGTGACAGTGGAGACATGTCCGCACTACCTTGCCTTTGCGTCCTCTGACGTGCCACCTGGGGACACTCGCTTCAAGTGTGCCCCTCCCATCCGCAGCGATAGCAACCGCCGCATGCTATGGGAAGCACTCATGGTGGGTGCCTAGAACTGACTGTGGGGACGATCTAAGTTCCCAAGTGTATTTGTATGTGCTGAATGTTCTTCCCCTGTCGCTCTCCTTGGGGTTGGAAGTGGCCCTGATTGACAACCCTGAGGGGGGGGGTGTGCATGCTTTGCAGGATGGGGGCATTGACATGCTGTCCTCGGACCACTCGCCTAGCCATCCATCCCTCAAGAACCTGGACACAGGCAACTTCCTCACGGCATGGGGCGGCATTGCAGGCCTGCAGGTGGGATCAATGGCTGGAAAAGTCCCAGCTTCCGTTCATGCATTTTGCAGCTTATATGACTGGAAAATGAGATCTCGCATTGGCTTGCTCCTCCCGCTGCCGTGTCCAATGCACATAGCCACGATATGACAAGGATGTTTATCAGCCTTCTTAGAACGCCAGTTCTGAGGACTCCACCTCCTCTCGTGCCCATGTCTGTCATCTTCTGCATGGTGGTTTGTGTTGCAGCTGAGCCTGCCAGTGACATGGACGCATGGCCAGGCATTCAACATGTCCCTCATGCAACTGGCACGCTGGTGGAGCGAGGCACCTGCACAACTTGCAGGGCTCCAGTCAAAGGTAAGAAGAAGAAGAATAAAACAACTCTGCTGTGCTTCTTAACCCCCTGCTTGCCTTTCTTCTTCCAAGTTTTCCTTTGCCCCAATGAATTCTCCGCCGCGCCTGATTCATCACCGCTGTGATGCTTTTGTAGGGAGCAATTGTAGCTGGCAAGGATGCTGACCTTGTGGTATGGGATCCGCAAGCCTCTTTTACAGTGGGCGTGGATGTGCAAGTGTTCCACCGCCACGCGGTGACACCCTACAACAGCAGCATACTTCGGGGGCGTATCATGGGCACGTATGTGAGGGGAAATCTTGTATATGTAGGGGACAGGCATGCAAGCAAGGCGTGTGGGGTCAGATTACGCAAGTAGCTGTTGCTGTATGTATCGAGGTTCATGTTATCAACATGCACGAAAAAAATATGATTACTCTTCTTGAAACTCTTCTACAGTATATCTACATAGCCACGGTTTTCAAATCATGTAATATATTGTCTAGAGCGAGGTCGGTGTATAAACGGATCGCTGTTGGGAACAGTATTTGCAACTCCACCAGTTTCATCTGTCTGTGGCTTGCGCCTGAACAAGTGGTGTAGCTCCACTGGCAATCTGGCCTTCTGAACGGGTGGGTGGGTACGGGTGAAAAAACGTTCAGGTGTGTCCCCCTGGCCTGCCGGGAGCCCCACCCCACCCACTCCACGGACACCCACCCACTCGGGCTCTGATTGGTTTGTCGGTGCGCCCGCGACCGTCGAGCGAACATAATACACCCTCTTTCTCAGCCTTTTCACCTTGCGCGACTCGTCGCTACAGTGCTTGTCTCTTGCGATCTGGTGCCATTAAACGTTCCAAGCAACCTGGGGGGAAAGCCGAACCACGTGACAAACTGGCTCAAGGTTGTAAAATTTCCGTAATCGCTCTATACCCTTCTAAACCTAATGAGAACGTTGACAACGCTGTTTGTAAAGTGCATCACCTCACCTAACCGCATTCTTCGCATTGTGCTTATACAGTAGGTGACAATACCATTCTGAACGTGGTGACGTTCTACAACCCGTGTATGTTCTGCAACCAGGTGCTATACTAGCGCGAAAGAGGGTGTACCCGTGGGGGTGGTGGTGTTGTTCGGCTGGCGCTCGCACACTGGCGCGTCGGCCAATCTCCGCCAGAAAATAATACACATGATGCCCGACCAGTGCACGCGAAATTGCCATGCACCGGATGGAAACGCTGCCCCCGAGCTGGAAACCCCTGCTTGCTGCTCCCACAGTACAAGCACATGGGTGGCCGGCAACAGTACACGCGACTCGGCCATCAATGCACGTGCAGTCCCGAACAAGCCATGCCGACCCACATTTGCCTTGTTTCTAGGCCAGGAGTCAGAGAGGCGAAATGAATGGACGAAACGAATATGGTTTCGTGAACGCATTCGCCCATCTGGGCCGCCACCTTAGCAAGGATCATCGTGCGTGTAACAGGCATTTGGTCAGATTCACGGTGCCACGTGTAATTCGGGACTTGCAAGGTACAAGCGCATTACCAGCCAGGCGTTGTTCGCCCACCCCACGTCAGACATTCGAGGGTATGGTTACCAAACCACACGATAAAAAATGCAAGCCATGTGCATGGAACGAACACGAACCACACAAATGTGACATGCCACAAAGAACAGGCCCCAGCCTTGCCCAGCACGCCCGACAGGTGACGATAAAATGCTCACAATTCATTCACTAAGTCAGCTTTCTCTCACACCCCAGCCGCTCACAATGCCCCACTTTAATCGACGGGAGCAGCTCCCGCTCCATATCAAGCGCGCTATTTGCGCGCACCACATCGACAACCCCCGCCTGCGTCTTGTTGACCTGGCGAGGTGGTGTTACTCGTAGTACGGATTGCGCCCGGATCGCTCCACTGTCGGCCGCATATTGAAAAGCGCCGAGCGCCGAGCGATGGTCTGCCGCTCTCGTGGTCCCTGGAGCTGACGCATGTACACGACGACGAGCCCACCCCCGCCGTCTACCCCGACATCGAGCTCGACGACGAAATCGACGATGTCGGGATGCTAATTAGCGGGCTCGCCCTCGGGAATGCGGCGATGACGGCCGCAGAGTACGTCACCATCGACGACGGCGAGCCAGCGTCGGCCGAGGGCGCTGCGGGAAAGCCCACGACTGAGCCGGAGGCGGGCCTGGAGGTGGAGCTCTGGCAGGCGCCGACGACCATGCAAGCCGTCTACGACGACGCCGACCCCGTGGGCCGCGAAGCGCGGCGCACTGCCCGGGCGGCATGCGAGATGCTCATCGGATATGCACGGGCCACCCGCATCACGCCGCGCGATCTGTGCCATCTGTTCGATATCCGCAACCCCATCATAATCGCGCGGATGGAGCGGGCGAGCCCGTCGTTCAACCTCAACGTGGCGCCTCAGCCCGTACCCTCCCCGGGCGCAACTCCCACGCCCGAGACCCCTCGTCCGTGCGGCGGTGTGCTGCTCGGCTGGATGACCCGTCCGTCTCGCCGTCAGGAGCTGCTTGACGCCGGTGTGGGCGCCGTGATGGACGGGTATGTGGACACGGCTGAGTGGATGCGTCTGTGAGGGGGGGGTGGAGCAGACTTCGCAAGGTGTCGAAGGCATTTTGCTGAGAGCACAAGTGTTCACTCCTTGTGCCATTTGTGCGTGTTTCGTTTTGTGTGTTGAATGGAGATGAGGGGCCAGGTGGAGGATGTTGATTGGAAAATGTTTGTGTTTTGACTGTTTTGTACTACGAAGAACAATTGTTGTGCATGCTTGTTTCAGTACTGTAGCGTTCGTTTAGTAACCCTAAACACACAGCAGGGACAAGTGCTGCAACCCCTTACTGTTGCGAATCAGACAAACTGGGTGGTTACCATGTGCAGTTTTGAAGCACGTTGGACGCCTGACGAAATTCACGAATGCCCCGCGAAATGCAGGTTTAGCTTACAGACCCAGTTCTCAAGGCAACCGGGAGGGGCTCTAACGAGCATCAGGTGTAATTGCCGTCGATACGGAGAAAAGGAACGCGGAAAGCCGTCGATTCTTGCAGCCCCCCTCCCTCGAATCTGGCCCAGTTGTTCCGTGCTTCGTCCAGGCGAGCGCCTCCATCCAGCTACACACAATGCTCGTTTGACTAACCCAAGGTTGCCTTGTTAAGAGGTATTTTCAGTGGTTAAAAGTGTTTCGCAAATTTCGTCAACGTCGCACCTAGCAAGAAAGGGCTCATAATAAAATCTGTAACTCTTTGTTGACTTTTTGACTTCAGTCTCCTCTGTTTGACTTCGGTTTCTGTGGTTCGTATTGGTTTATAACCACTGCATCTTGCTCGAGGGGCTTGTAATGTAGGTGCAACTGGCTGGTTAAAAAAACACGCGTGCAGACTTTCCATCCGGGGCAGGGCAAATTCGCGCACAGGGGTTGAGCATCGTGGGTAGGCTCCCACCTAACCCCAACTTCCCTCCCACCCTTCCTCCATGCTCTCCCACAATACACATGTTGCTCAACTGCTGCGCGCGAATTTGCCCTGCACGCGCCAGGAAGTCTGCACCCGTGTATTTTGCGCCAGCCAGCTGCACCCACGATACAAGCACCCCGAGCAAGTTGCATTGGCTATGAACCAATAGTAACCACAGAAACCAAAGAATATCTGAAGAGACTGAAGTCAAAAAGTCAACGGAGAGTTACAATTTTTTTTATAAGCCCTTTTTTGCTAGGTGCGACGTTGACGAAATTTGCGAAATGACTAGAATCACTTAAAGCGACGGTGCACATTTGCCACCCAAAACCCAGAACCCTGGCGAACTGTTACTGCGGATGGAAAGTGTCCGCACGAAATCCTGGTTTTCGCCAGCCAGCACTTTCGCGCTGGCAAGCCTGGTTCAAAAAAAAAACTTCTGAACCCAACACTGCCAAAAGTTGCCCGTCGCTTTAAAAACCCCCTTCACAAGGCAACCTTGGGTTAGTCAAACGAGCATCATGTGTACAACCCTCCGCACGAGACGGGAGGAGCAACTGGTTCAGCCCCATACTGTACCACCACCTCCCTCGCCTTCCCTCCCCATAATGTTGACCAACTTCCAACCAACTTTATCCAATCCAGATGCATTTTCTCCCTGCGAATCGATACCTGTTGTATTATCACCTCCCGAAAACATTGCCAGTTTTAGGTAGTAGTTTCGCGCATAGTGGCCGAAGGCTGTGATTGATAACAGCTCTTCCCTACACCAAGAAACCCCACATACATACGGCACCACGGACATTCATCGTCGACCTACTTTTCTGTTGGGGGAGGTTTCCGTAACGTCGTCGTTTATTTTCTAGAGCCTGCGTAGATTCAACAGGGCTCAGCAACAAGAGAGTTTGGCAGAATACAGCCTTTGCAATCAAGAACTTCGTTACCCCGTGACGTAGGGCAACACGATGAAGAGCAGCAAGGATTGCAACAGTTCCCACTGCCATGGCGATTTGCCAAAATGCAAGGCGCCAGTGAAACCCGAGAGCGTGATGATCGGCGACCGGCATTTGGTACTATACGTGTCCATTCTCAGTATTATCACATCCGCTGTCGTTACAGGAATCGTGCTTACACTCCCCATGACGTCATCCTTCGTCACCCGCGCTATCCGCGCATCGACTACGCGGCCGGCGGACTTTGGGGAGGTTGTGCGCGCGGAAGGTCGGAGACAATGGGGGGAAGTGGAAGCTGACACTCTCGGTGGAAGCAGACCCGCGGGTGCGGAGGCGCAAGACGGGAACACGCAAGGAGAGGGTCAGACGCAGAATGACCCGGATTCACGGAGAGAAGATTACGGTGAAAGGGCCGGAGCGGCGGGAGAGGCGGGAGCGGCGGGGGGAGTGGAGAACGAAGAGGGAGAAGAGGGGGGAGAGGAGGCAGGGATGATAGTGGGGGCGGACGCTAGCGAAGAGGACGCCGCGCGCATGGCGGCGAATCTTACGGTGTGGGAGGAAGACTCGTGGGATGGCGTGCAGATGGTCGTGCATATCAAGGTATGTGATGCGATGTAATATGACGCGATATGGAACAGTAGTTAACGACAATAATAATTACCAAAAGAGAACTAACTACCCCACGGTGTCGAACCAGAAAGAGCACTGCAAGCAGCAGAACCGTGCAGCACCGTAGCTAGCAAGTTACACAACGCCTTTCTTCCGCCCCCTCAAACCCACGCCTCCGTCACTTCTCCACTCGCCCCCTCCGGCCCTTCCTCCGGGCTCACCCCTCGCCCCACGCCCCTCGCCCCCCAACCCGCGGCCCCCGCCCTTCGCCCCCCGCCCCTCACCCCCCACTCCCCCCCACCCCTTATCCGCACCAGGAGCACACGCTGCCCGCGTGCCTGCTGGTGCTGTGCCAGGCGCAAGCGTACGCGGCGCTGCAGCGCATGCAGCTGGGCGTGCTGTGGGACACGCGCCTCTCGCACCTGCTCCCCCGCGTGCACCTGCGCGACCTCTTCCTCCCGCCCGACCTCCCCCTCCGCACGCGCCTGCCCCCCGGATGGGCGGGTGTACAGGGCGGGAAGGTTGTGGCGGAGCGGGGGGGGAAGAAGGAGGAGTTTCAGTCTCTAAAGGTGAGTGGCGCTAGGGAAGGGGGAGGAAGAAAGGGGGAAAAGGGGAAACGGGGAAAGAGAGAGGGGGGAGAGGACGGGGAGGGAAGGGGGGGGAAGTGAGAGGGGAGAGAGAGAAGGGGAGGGGAGGAAGGGAGGATAAAGAAGGAATGACAAAGACAATGATTGGAAGAATAAACGCATGGGGCAGTCTACCAAGGAATAAGCTGGTGCCTACGAATCTCGTTGCTTTCACCCATTCTTTTTTGTTTGCTGCTGTGACGTGCCTGTATCGCTTGCAAGTTAAGACAGTCCTGTTTGCTGCATCATTCCCCCAAGCCCCACGCCCTTGTTTGTATGTAACCAGTCCGTGTCTCTGTTGTCGGTCCCACTTCTCCTTGCCCACGCCCCATTAACCACTTACCACAGCTCCTTCCCCATCCCCAGCTCTCCACTCCCCAGCCCTCACCCCCTATTCCCCATTCCTCATTCCGCATCCCCTATCCCCCATCCCACCCCATTCTCCATCCTGCACCATCCATCCCGCTGTGAGAGCACCAGGTGCGGTTGCAGTGTGCGGATCGGGGCCATCTCCCGCTGCCCTTCCACTCGCCCACCTTCAATCTGCTCGTCTCTCAGGACGCCGCGCCCTTGCTGGTCAGTGCTCCCTGCTAACTCAAAACTGCTCACTGCTCACCACTCACTGCTCACCACTCACTGCTCACCACTCACTGCTCACCACTCACTGCTCACCACTCACTGCTCACCACTCACTGCTCACCACTCACTGCTCACCACTCACTGCTCAGCTCATCGCACTTCTTCCCTTCATCTCCATTCACCTCTGCCCGCCTCACTCCCCCTCTCCTCCCCTCATCCTCCCACCCCCCCCTTCCTCTCTCGTCTCGTCGCTTCCATCTCCCCCTCCCTCCACCCCCGTCCCATGCACGCACGGGGGCAGCGGCACGGGGTGAGGGCCTGTGTGCACGCGGTGGGCGTGGAGCGGTGCTACAGGGGCCTGCAGCCCACGCGGCACATCAAGCGCCTGCTGGCGCGAGAGAACATCAAGCGCACGCGAGCCGCTGTCGCCGTGCTCATAGAGGTGCGGTGCGAGGGATGCATACAGGTGGGGAGGAGAAGAGGGTGGGGAAGGGGTTTTGAGGCGCCGTGCTCATAGAGGTGCGGTCGGATGGGGGTGATGGTCGGATGGGGGTGATGGTCGGATGGGGGTGATGGTCGGATGGGGGTGATGGTTGGATGGGGGTGATGGTTGGATGGGGGTGATGGTTGGATGGGGGTGATGGTTGGATGGGGGTGATGGTTGGATGGGCATGGGGGTGATGGTTGGATGGGGGTGATGGTTGGATGGGGGTGATGGTTGGATGGGGATGATGGTTGGATGGGGGTGATGGTTGGATGGGGGTGATGGTTGGATGGGGGTGATGGTCGGATGGGGGTGATGGTCGGATGGGGGTGATGGTCGGATGGGGGTGATGGTCGGATGGGGGTGAGCCTGCACGCGAGCGTACCATAGAGACTCCCAGCAAAGGACCGTCTTGCTTGCTTCATGCTGCCCCTGTTTTTTCCTCTCCCATTGCCCGTATCTTCCTCACCCTGGCCCCCCTGCTCCATCCACTTCCCCACTTCTCCCCACTTCCCAACTGCCCTACTGCCTTGCACCTGTGGGCATCATCCCCTTCACTCCACCTCCTTCAACACACCAGGACCCGCGCTACAACCGCATGCGGGTGCCGTCCTGCCCCACCCACACCCCGCTCTCTGCATGCACAGTCCGACGATTACTCGCATCATTCCTCTCGCACCCAGCCATTGACTTCACAATGGCAGCAGCCACCGTGCCAGCGCACGCCGTCATTGCAGCCGACTCCTTCCACCCCTCGCGTGCGCCGCACCTGCCCTTTGCTTCTCTCGTGCGTGGGCTGGACTGCTCGCCCTTTGAGGGCATGCCCGGCGGGTGGGAGGCGCGGCTGGGCGCGGAGTGGAGTTTGAGGCGCAAGGGGAAGAGCGAGCACGAGCTGACTCTTGCGGAGGCTGTTCGCTGCACCCAGTTCCTGGTGGGTTGCCTGCCTGGCTGCTTGCCTGCCTGCCTGCCTGCCTGCCCTGCTGTCCCGTCAAGGGAATCTCTCACCATCATCCCATAATCTTCCCTCTACCTGGTTGCATTTTCCTGTGAAACGTCTTCTTCTTACCTCCCTTCCTCTCTTCTTCCCCACTAACCTCCCTCTCTCTCCCCCATCTCCCCCCCATGACCCCCCATGCCAGACGGCAGAGTTGCTGCTGCTAACTGAGGCGCCCAGTCTGCTCTACTCCTTTCCATCAAATGCCTTTTGAGTCCACTCAAAACCCATCTTCCCCCCACTAACCTCCCTCTCTTTCCCCCATGCCAGACGGCAGAGCTGCTGCTGCTAACTGAGGCGCCCAGTCTGCTCTACTCCTTCCCCTCGCCCGCACTCAACCTCATCATGGCGCGTGCTGTGGCCCGCACACCTTCTTTCCACCTCATGGCCCCCTCGCTTTGTGGCGCGCCGTGCCCACCGCCACTGCTCCAGCAGAAGTTTGCCGAGCACATGATCGTCGATGGTGCGTGCAGCCTGCCAGCTGATATGGTGCATGCATTGGGTTCATGTCTTTTGAGGCGCCTCAATAATGCATCCTGCCAGCCAAGTTGCTGCATTGGATGCTCCATGTGCCAGGACGGGTCATTGGATCGTGCACGTGACGTGGGATTATGTATGTGTGCAATCCACAGATGTGCATGGAGTAATTCATGTGCATGGACTTACATATGTGCCCATCTCGCCTTTCATGCTCACCCATTCATGCAGCTTGCGGCTCATGCTTCCTCGAATGGGCCTTTCATGCTTCCTCCCTCTCCTCTCCCCTGCCCGTCCTCACCCCTCGCAGAGGAGCTGAAGGTGGCGTACTGTGCGTTACCCAAGGTGGCCAACACGAGCTGGAAGCTCTGGTTCCGCCTCTTCCGCGTCAACGGCAACGCCACCGCTGCCTTCGGCGTCCCCGACGACACCAACGCCACCGCTTCTGCTGCTGCTGGTGCTGCTGGGGCAGCAGAGAGCGGCGGAGCAGCAGCAGCAGCAGGGGGAGGAGGAGGAGAGGGGGGGTTGAAGCTGAGTGCGCGGGAGTTTAAAGCGATACACGTGTCGGAGGGCAACGGCATCACGGAGTTGAGTGAGCTGGGCGAGCGCGAGGCGGTGCGGTTCCTGTCGCGCCGTGACGTGCTGCGGTTCACGTTCGTGCGCAACCCGTACACGCGCGTGGCGTCCGCCTTCCTCGACAAGGTCGTAAAGGCCCGCGACTTTCTCAACAACGGCAGCGCTCGGCTGTACTGGGCTCAGGTGCGAAAGGAAGAGGTGTAGTTTTTAGACGTCTCTAAAATACTTTTTTATCACGCAACAACTGCGGCGCTCGCCTGTACTGGTCTAAGGTGCGGAATGAAGAGGGAAGTGGGGTGAGAGGGGGAGGAGGGGGGCCGGGGATGAGGGAAATTGACGCAGGGGAAGGGGGGAAAAGAGGGGGATTGAGATGGAGGGAAAGAGCGGTGCTTTCCTGAACAAGGTCATCAATGCCCGCAACTTCCTCAGCAACGGCAGCGCTCGCTTGTACTGGGCTCAGGTGCAACGCAGGGAGTGGAGAGAGTGGGGGTAAGGGGGGATGAGGTGTAAGGGAGGAGCGGAGAGACGAGGAGAGATTGATGGTTTTTTTCTTCCACCATGTTCGTGTGCTTCCCTTTAGCATTCCTTGACTCATCTCATGTCCTACCAAAAACCCGCCATCACACCTCCCGTTCCGTCACGCCTGCTCAGAACGCCTCCGACCTCTTCTCAAGAACCCCTCCTCTCATCACTCCTCCATCCCTGACTCTCTCCACCACCAGGCGCTGTTCAAGCGGGCACCGCAGTACAGCAGCATGATGGCACGGCATCCAGACGGCAACTTCTCCTTCCCTGAGTTCGTGCAGCTCACAGAGGGAGCGCTGCAGCACCCGCCCACCGACAACCACATCGACACACAGGTACGGCGGGTGGAGGGGCTGCAGGGGAGACGGGGGACGTTGGATGAGGGGGAATGGTGGGACACGTGAGACAGGAGCAGGCACATGCAGCAGTGAGGTGGGTGCGGTGAGGTGGTCTATTTGCGAGCTTTCAGGGATTGGCGGAGCGAACGCCTTTTGCACCGCCTTTTGCGGTGACGGAACTTCCCTTGTGCCTGGCCCTCCCCTACATGTCATTTCTGCTGGGCAGGTGGAGCTGTGTGCGCTGGACTCAATCAAGTACGACTTTGTGGGGCGACTCGAGAGCATGATGGACGGCGTGCAGTGGGTCATGCAGCGCCTGGGCACGGAGCCGTATGGCGTGTTTGACAGCGGGCACACACTGCAGGCCACTGATGCTGACAAGAGAATCGCCCGGCTCTATGACAAGGTGCGTGAGAGACGGGCTGAAATAGGTGGGGAGGAAGGGAAGAGAGAGGGGTTGGGGGGTCTGTTTTCTGATGCAACTTCTAACCTGACTGTTGTCAATGTTTCCTTTCCAATGTGGGCAGGCTACGTTTGATATAGTGACACGAGCATATGCGAGAGACATGTACATCCCATTTAACGATATTGGCTACGAAGCACCCAAGTTGCTGGGACGAATAAACTCAACGACCTAGTTAGCAGCTTGCACCGATGCTTGTAGCGAAAGTCTCATGCATAGTTTGTTCAATATATAATTGTACATATGAACCTTGAGATAATAAGCTGCAGGTCCACACGCGCGACTTGGTCCAAGCATGCGCCTTGGTCCACGCACGCGCCTTGGTCGAAGCACGTGCCTTGGTCCACGCACGCGCCTTGGTCCACGCACGCACCTTGGTCCACGCACGCGCCTTGGTCCACGCACGCGCGTTGGTCCAGGCTCGCACCTTGGTCCACGCGTGCACCTTGGTGCGCGCGCGCACCTTGTTCCACGCGCGCGCCTTGGTCCGTGCACGCGCCTTGGTCCACGTGCTCGCCTTGGTCCACGCGCGCGACTTGGTCCAAAGGTGTGCTTGTTTTGTTGGATAAGAGTGGTCAGAAACATGAATTTTACGTTTACCACTTAACTTTTCAATAAATAAATTAATACTAATTATGCCATGCAAGCTACGATAATGAATTATTCGTGGTACAATGTATGCATAAGATGAGTTGACTGAATACTTGAGATTCAGGAGTGAATCTATAAATTTCGAAGCTGTACCTGCTTTCCTCGACATCCTTGTCCTAGCGACGATTTTGCGTGTAGCGGAACATGGGCACACGCGCAACCATCTAAATCGCTGCATTGCCCATTTTGGTAAGATTTCGTCCCCAGTAGCGATGACCAGGAGTAGTGACGCACTAATGATTTCTTGGGCTTACCCATCCTTTGGTCAGAATTGTGGTTTTTGTAGTCTACTGGGGCTCGGTCCCTGTCGTTACGGGCTATGGGGACCAGCGTGGCAGCCGTGATAAGTTATTACAGGAACCACTGGAACGACGAGAGAGAACCGGAGCTCAGGGATATGCCATATGCCCTAATATTCGCCTTCGCACTTCCTGTTGCTCGATATATTCTGGACAAGTCCGTTTTCGAGGTACCTTAGCTTCTGTCCGTTGTTTCGGTTAGCCTTTCAGCATCAAACTCAAGGGGGTTTTTTTCATCTTGCAGATCTTGGGGAAAAAGTTCGTCCGTAGTAAAGCGATTTGGAAAAAGGATGCCTCGCTCACTTCGGATAAGGGTTCTCCGGCTGCTATTGACAGGGAAGCCCTGTTGAAGACTCGACGGAAATACAAGGAGTCGCTGTGGAAAATTGCATATTATCTATCGTCATGTATCTTCTGCTACTTGGTGACGTCTGGAGAGCCCTGGCTCACAGACACGAAGTACTACTGGATCGGCCCTGGTTCGAAAGTTTGGCCAGATCAAACAGCAAAGCAAGTATCTGTCGAGTACGATTTTAGGGGTTTCACGTAGCTCGGGAATTCGGCTCTGATCAGGCTGTGTTGCGACATTTCATGTTTCAGGCTGAAGGCCAAGGTCCTGTTTGGCTACTTCGCGGGATTTTACATTTATAGCATTTTCGCCATTCTTTTCTGGGAGACCCGACGGAAGGACTGGCTTGTGCATCTGATCCATCATATATGTTGCGTAACCATGTCGATTGTCTGCTATCACTTCAGGTAATTTTCTCAAACGCTTGCCACCATGAATTTTGATCCTTGCCGTACCTACATAAGGCGTCGTCTGTGCGTGTTTGCAGAGTATTCCGAATGGCTCCTGCAGTCATAGGACTTCACGATATAAGCGACGTGCTGCTCGAGGTCGCGAAACTGTGCTTATATTCAGAGTTTGAGCTGGGAGCAAACGTTTCATTCGCCCTTTTCGCGACAACCTGGGTGATGTTTAGGTTGTGGTGGTTTCCGCGAAACGTCCTGTACAGCTTCTGGTATGTGGTCGAACCTTTGGCCCTCTCTGCTTTCCCCCAAAGTCCCTTGTCGTGTTTGTTTCGTGATGGTGGTTCACGCATTTGCCTTTTAGCTTCAGTCTGTCTGAAGTGGTTTTCGTGTGCGTCGTTGGTGTTTCAGTTTTGAAACAATCAAATACTGGGATTTGAAGAAATACCCTGTACTCCTTCCATGGCTCTACTACGCCCTCAACTTCGCAACTCTCATGATGATAGAAATGCATTGTTATTGGTGGATACTCATCTGTAGAGTAATTTACAGGCAGGTAGTCGTTGGCCGTGTGGAAGGCGACGTCCGATCAGGTTAGTTACTGTCGTGTGACTGTTGAACTTCTGCATCAAGTTCACTGCTTTGCTATTGCTGGGCAAGTCCCGTATCTCACTGACCTCTACTAACCTTTTGCAGATGGAGAAGACGAGGATGACTAGGACAAATTTCATCTTGCCATTCCACAAGCTTGATTAATGGAATGTATTATTTATTAATCACATGCTGCCCATAAACTAGTGAATACAGGAAATTAAACCTCTGGTGATAGTGAGGATGAAGAAAAGAATCAACTAGGGTACCATTTGGCACCACAAGCAGAGCAGTGTTGTGTGGGTAGCCAGGCAAATCTCGGTATTTGCACATGCTTCAAAGCAGGAGCACAAATTCTCTGCATACACAATGCATGGTTGGGTTATGACGACATGAATGAAACAGACACAGAAGACAGGACAGGACACAGAGAATCTACATTAACGGACAGAACAGATGTGACTTCAGCAGGTACCATGGTGGACTAAGTTTGAGTCAGCACAATGTATACGTGACACGATTATGACAAGGATCGGCTCTTGAGCTGCGTTTATCATTCCGTGCTCTTCTCTTCGCAGTCAGCATCACTTGATTCTTCCCAGCAACCAGAGACTTCGAACCTAGAAACCATACAAAAAATCAAGCAGAGGAGAGTGCACACGGAGACAGGACCACCAAGGGAGAAGTACCAGTAAGATAAAAGAACAGGAGCATGCCCACCCTCAATACAGCAACAGACAAATGCAGTTGCAAAAATGCACCTGTCAGGCTTCTTGTCCTACCTTGCACATGTGTGGAGAGCACATCCCTCCGTGCTCACTGGGCACCACCACCACCTGCATTTCCACCAGTGCCTCCTGCCACTTCTGCCATGAACTGCGCATACTCTTTCTCGCCACCCGCACCCACTCCCTCCCCTCCCAGCGGTCCCTCGCTTCCTGCCCCACCAACCAGCGCCCCCCCCTTGACTGCACCAGCTGACACTGCTGCTGCCATGGCTGCTGCTGCTGCTGCAGACGTGGGGGCCCATGAAGGCTGTTGTGCCGCCGCCGCCGCCGCCGCTGCAGCTGCTGCTGCTGCAGGATCCATATGGGGATAGAGAGCAGGAGGACAGGAAGGCTCCATGCCAGGAGGGGGCTCTGCTGCTGCACCCACCTCGCCAGGCGCACCAGGCGGCGGGGTGGAAGTCCCAGGGGGCAATTCCACGTCCTCATACACTCCAGGCGGGCCCACCATTCCCGGGTATGCACCAGGCGGGGGCGGGTAGTCCGGAGCAAAGCCATGCGGCATGAAGGCACCTGGGGGAGGGCCCGATGCTCCATACGGGGGAAACGGAGGTGGTGGCACACCTTCGGGATAGCCAGGCGGGGCATAGGGAGGAGGGACGTTGCCAGGTGGAGGTGGGCCGCAGAGGCCAAACGGAGGAGGGGGGCCACCAGGGGGGTGAGCCCAGGGAGGGGGAGGAGCAGAAGGGTCAACAGACCCAGGCGGAGGGTACGGGGGAGGGGGGCCATAAGGGGGGCGCAGAGGGGGAGGGCCCATGTGCGGGGGAGGACCAGCGCCACCAGGAGCAGCAGAGCCAGGAGGACCAGAAGGCCCAGAAGGCCCATACGGACCAGGGGGGCCAGGGGGGCCGTGGGGGCCAGGTGGGCCGTGGGGACCAGCACCACCCACACCACCGCCTCCTGGTGCTGCCCCTGCTACTCCCATCCCTCCTCCCGGCCCTCCCGGCCCACCGGGACCACCAGGGCCGCTGCCCTGCTGGTTCTTGGCAGTGGAGCGCACGACAATGGTCTTACCCTCCATGCGGTACCCATTCAGCCCCTGTGTGGCCGCCATTGCCGCCTGCCGCTCCACAAACCGCACAAACCCAAACCCCCGGCTCATGCCCGTGTTGCGATCGCGGATGATCTTGGTCTCCTGAATGCGCCCGTACGGGGCAAAGAGAGAGTACAGCCCTTGGTCGTCCACAGACTGAGGCAGGTACCCCACATAGAGGTTACAATCGTCCTCCACACGGCTTGACCCCCTGCCCCCTCCTCCCCCCCCACGCTCCCCACCGCCTCCCTGCTCGCCGCCTCTCTCCCCCCGCTCGCCCCCTCCCCATCCCCCTCCGCGCTCCTCCCCTCCCCCACGCCCCCCAGCACCGCCATCCCCACCCTCTCCCCCGATCGGTCCCCCCACGCCTCCCCCCACCTCAGCCAGGAACGACATATACTCCTCGTCAAGCTTCTGCCCCTGCGCTCCCCCGCCGCCGCCCCCTCCCCCTCCGCCCGCGCCCTTCATGGGGCAATCCACAGACGGATGCCCCCCATCCCCGCAGATCGTGCACATGACTTCAGACCGGAAAGTCGAGTGCCGGTCGGGGCAGTTGTACTGCCTGTGGCCCTGCTCCCCACACAGCCGGCACACCAGCTCCTCCTCTCGGATCGTGCCATTGAGCGCCGCAAGCTCCCTCAGCTGCGCGCGCTTGTGCTCGTTGTGCCCCTCGTCTACAGGAACCAGCAGCTTCTGAACCATATCCGCCGCCTCGTTAAGAGCTGCCTCGCTATCCGCCTCCACCAGCACGTGCAAATCCTCGTTGTCCGCCGGGTCGGGCTTGAAATCCCTCCCGCCCTTCGCCGCCCGCCCCTCCTTCACAGACCCTCTCCCCCGGATCACAATCTTGGCACCCGTCTCTTTCTCCATACGCTTCTGTGTGTTGCCGCGCGGCCCGATAATCAACCCAATGAAATTATACCCCGGGTATTCTTTCATGGGGATGAACAGCTTCTTATAATACTTGGGCGGCTTGTAATCCGCAGGCGGTTTGAACCCAGGGTTCTTCTTTATCATCTCCGCAATCACCTCCTGCCGCTCCCGCATCAGCTTCTCTTTCACGCGCTGCTCCCGCGTGTTCACTCGCACGCCCATGTTGTCGTATATCGGCTCGGGCGACGGAGACCGCTCCACCGAGCGTTCCTCCGTGAGCCCAAGCGCAGCAGCCATGGCGCCCTCTAGCCCTGCAGCAGAATCCCCAGTAAGATTGCCTGCCTGTAGCTTCTTGTTTATTTCCAGCAACCGGATGTTGAGTGCTTGCACCTCGGGGTTGAGGTCTCCTGAGATCTCCCGCACGAATTCTGGGAGCTTGATGGAAGAGAGGAGAGCTGCAGCAGCGCTCGTCACCCCGCCAACGCCAACGCCCACTCCTGCTGCAGCTGCAGCAGAGGGATCGCTGTCGCCCCATCGGCTCTTACGCTTGCGCTGCCCTCCTGCTGCGCTGTTTCCCGCAGCACCCGCGTCTGCTCCTGCTGCTGCTCCTCCTGCCGCTGCTCCTGCCTCTTCGCCTGCACCTGTTGCTGCTGCTGCTGCTGCCGCGTCTCCTTCAGCAGGGCCCCACCTGCTGCGCCTGCGTTTTCCTGTCTTGCCATCCCCACTGCCACCACCAGCAGCAGCGCCAGCAGCAGCGCCATTAGCAGCAGCAGCAGCAATGGAATCTGGCGCTCCTGCACCCGCGCCCTCAGCCAGAATTCCTCCCACAACAGCACTGGCAGGAGCAGCAATGCTCCCTACAGTACCACCCGCAGCAGCCTGCCCTGCTGCACCCGCAGAGGGTGCATGCCCCAGCACGGGCTCTTCTGCAGGCTGCCAACGAGAACGGTGCCTGGAACCCTCCATAGCCTTGCTTGGAGCGCTCGCCATCCCACTGCCACTCACAACACCACCAGGAGCACCAGGAGCAGCGCTGCCCCTGTCAACACCGCCCACAGCAGCAGCTGCAGCAGCAGAGGCGGCAGCAGCGGAGGCGGCAGCAGCAGCAGCAGCAGCAGCGGCGGCGGCGGCGGCAGCTGCATCAGCTTCTTGTGCGGCCTGTTCTGCCCACGGCTGCTCAGCAGTCCCCACGTGCGCCTGAGGAAACGGATCAAACGGGGCACTAGCTTCCATAGCAGAACCTGCTTTGGCCCTCCACGCTCCGTGCTCCCTTGATGCACCCCGCTCCCTCGACGCGCCCCTTTCCATTGATGAACCTCTCCCTCTTTCCAATTCCCTCTCCCGCGATCCAACTCTCTGCTGCGATCCAATTCTCTCCCGAGAAACGTCCCTTTCCCGCGACACGCCTCTCTCCCGTGACGACCATCGCTCCTTAGATCTCGCCCTTCTCTCAGACGACCCTGACCTAGCTGCTATCCTTCCCTCCTGCTCCTCCGCACCCTCTCTCCCCCGCTGCCTCTCCCTGTGCCGCCTCCTTCCCGCCTTATCCCCGCCGTCCTTCCCATCGTAGTAATCTCCCTCGCTCGGCACGCCGCGCTTGCCTTCCCAGTGCTCCCTGCTTCGCTCACGCGGATCCCGCTCCCCCTCCTCGTGCTCATACCCGTGCTTCTCCACATGCTGCTCCTGCTCCTGCTCGTACTCATGCTCGTGCTCGCGATCCTGCTCGTGCCTCGATCTCCTCCGCTTCTTCTTATGCCGGTGGCTCTCCCCTCGCTGCGTGTCCTCCTTGTCACCGCCCCTCTCGCCTCGATGGTCACGCCTCTCCTCATGCCGCCTCTCCCTGTGTCGCCTGCGCTCCCTCTCATGCTCGTACCCCACCTCCTCCCCCTCCTCCATCCGCGCTTCCACATGCTGCCCCTCCTCCCTCTCCTCCTCCTCCTCCTCCTTTTCCTGCTTCACGATCACCTGACCCCTCACCCCGCCCACCTCCTCTCCCGCGCCCACCCTTTCAACGCTCCGCCACATGCCCTTCTCGTCGCCCCTTCCTCCCTTGCTCATCGTCGCACTCGCCGCCCAGTGACGCTCGCCGTCGCCGCCACCCTCAGCGCCGCCCTCTCGGTGCGCGCGACCCATCTGCGCCTCGCCCTGCGCGCGGCGGGAGAAGGACCGCTGGGGGTGGTGTCCGCGGGAGCCCTGCTCCGCCTCCAGTCCTCCCCACTGCGCCCGCCGCCCCCTCTCCGCCTCGCCAACCTCGCCACCGTTCCGTTCCTCTTTGCGCTCCCGCTCCTCGCTTCTGCGGCGCGTCTGCTCCTGCTCCCGCCACCACTGACCCCCGTGGCCGTAACTCGCATCCACCTGACCCTCCTCCTCTTCCTCCTCCTCCTCTTTCACCACTTTCTCCTCTTCCTCCTCCTCTTTGTCGTCCCTACTGCCTCCCTCACCGTGAATGCGCAACTTCCAGCCGTCCTCTCCCTGCTCCTCCCATTCAGCAGCACCACCACTCCAGCAGCGCTGCTCCCGCGCGAGTAACTGCGCGTCTTTCTCCGCACTCCGCCTCCCCGCTTCCCTGCGCTCCTTGGCCGTCTGTCCACCGTCGAGATTATGCGAAAGCGGTTTGTCCCGCGGGGGGTGCGGCCGCGCCGCAGGCACGGCCTCGTGTTCGTTCTCGCCGTCGTGATCGCGATCTTGCAACGGAATCTCCCCTTCCGATAGCTCCCCTTCCTCCAGTCCCACTCCCGCACCCTCGCTCGACAGGCCGTGACCATCGGCGGGCATATCTTTCGCGCGCCCGCGTATCTTCTCCACGCCCGCTGCTATGCCAACCTCCTCCCCCTCCTCCCCCTCCTCCTCCTCCTCCTCTTCCGCGCCCGCCAAAATCTCCTTCTCGAAACTCCGATCTTTCTCCCAACCTTTGCCGATCTCCTCCCCCTCCTCCCCCTCCTCCCATCCCCACTCCTTGTCGCTCGCTCTTCCCCTCTCACTCCGCCTCTCGCGATGCTTCGGCCTTTCCCACACCGCCTCTTCGTCCGCACCCGCGGGAGCGGCGCGGAAGCTCGTGTGCGCACGTGCGCCGTGCGAACGATGCTGGCGGGACCGCTCCTCGCGCCGCTGCTGCTGCTGATACCGCTCATCCTCCTCCCACGCCGTGTAGTGTCTGTCCGTGCCTTCCTCCCGCTGCTGCTGCTGCTGTGGCGGCGGCTGCGAGTGTCGTTGCCGGTGCTCCCCAGATTCGTGCTTCGCACTGTGTTCCTCTCCACGCTCGCGTGACGTGCGACGCTCGCGACTCTTGTCGCGCGTCGACGACTTGAAGCTTCGCACAGGGCCACGGAGGTGAGGCGTCGCCGAATCCGTCGATTTGTCATCTTCCGCGTAAGTACCCGTCGGCTCTTGCCGCCATGACGACTGGTTGTGGCCGCCGGTGCTGTGCTGCGCGCTCTGGAACGATCGCTCCATGCCGCTGAAGATGGCGCGACACGCGCAAGATCCGAATCCTCGAGGCAGGTTACGGGTCTCTCAGAAAACAAATTTCGTTGGGGATTTGAATATACTCCAAGATCCGAAAGGATATAACGGTAGGAAAGCAGGTGGAGTGACGGATATGATAAAAATCCCAGAATACGACGGTATCTCAGCAGAAATATTTGATTCCAGACCGAGGAAAGCAGGGGTTCGGAACTCGAGAATCCTTAAAACCCAAATAGATTCCTGTTTGCCTCCTTCAGCTAGCCGTAGATTCGCGACGAGCTAGTTCCGCCAGTGGCAGTAATCCAACGTAGGCAAGAGAAGGACGGAGAGCCGATATGCATCCATAATCAGTGGACTAGGAATGGCATGAGATGCGGTGTGGGAGTTGACAAGCAGTCATTTGCTTGTAGACAAATAAAGGCCAATCAATCTAGCACAAGCGGATCCAAAGACCGGCTGAGCAGGCAGGCAGGCAGGGGCAGAGTAGTCTTGGGCTGATTCTCACAGATCCATGGGGTACAGCTGAAGCAGCCGAAAGGCCGAAAGAGTTGCCTCGAGACCTGCCCAGTGCCCAACCTCTAGGGCCAACTTCGAGATGTACATGCGTCTCGGTAAGTGTTTGGGACCCATAGACTCTACAACACTGATGATCTACATGATTCCATGTACGGACCAAAGCAACTGAAACCAAAAGTGGCTTCACTGAAAAACAAATATGCATTGCAATTATGAATATTGATTTTGCACAGAAAAGGTTGCTTAGGCGCCGAAAAAAAATTGGAAGAAAATCTGCAGACACCAAGTGATTCACAACTCAGTGTTCATCCTGCCACCATATTGCAACCATGCCATGCAATCAGCCATCCCGATCAACCCTCTGCCCTCCCTCCCTACAGCTGCTGACGAGAAGTCAACTCGATGGCTGAAGAAGCACGAGGTCGCAGGACCAAGGAGCGGACAGTGAGAACAAGCAGCACCTTAGAGGCGGTCCCCACAGCTCCACCATTCAGACACAGCAATCCTCCACCGCCTAGCCCAACAGCAGCTACTGTAGCTGCTGGCATGAGTAAATGTCGGAGTGCTGCCAGTGGCCTGAACCGCCTCCCCTGCTTCTGCTGCTGCTGCTGCTCCTCTTGTGAGGACTGCGACTGACCAGTCACACCCTCTATTGCAGAGCTTCCAGCTGCTGGCTTATGTTCACCTCCAGGCAGAGCTGCAATGCCAGCCGCATGCAACTTCTGGGCCTCTGCTACTGCTGCTGCCATGGCAAAGCTAGGAGCAGCAGTGGCTGTGTGACGGCAATGAGCGTGGAAGGCAGTATCTGGTGTACCCTCGGGGATCAGGTGAGATGGCACCTGCAATACCGGAAACATAAAAGCCAGGCAGTGGAGAACGCATGAGAACAAACCACACCAATGGCACATGAAAAGGAGAACGCGAAACAAATCCGCATCAACTGTTTACTTGCAGCAGCAAATATGGCCCTCAGCTGCCACTGACCTGCTTAACCACAGACAGCGGAGGCATCACGCGAGGCGGTGACCCACTTGCTGCTTGCTCCAGCATGGCACAGCGAGCTGGCGCCTTTCCATGCGAGGGGCTGTGCTCCTTGATGTAAGAGCGCAGGTGTGAGTCAGTGCTGCGGATGTAGCCCCATGCTCCACGGCGGTATGCCAGTTTGGCCATGTCTCTCTGCATGCCGCTGTCCTCCTGCACCACCATGTCCATCTCTGCTGCTATCCTGCCGTCCGGGAGCACCACTGCATGGCACAGCACAACCACAGGGAGGCGCACAGGGAGAGAGAGCAGAGCAGAAGATGAGACTTCTGGAGGGACCTCAAGATCACTGCGGGTTGCAGAGCAACAGCCGCTCAGGGTGGCATGGAAAGGCAGATAGGGGAAAGAGCAGCAGCGTACCATCTTTCATGCGCCACTCGGATCGGTACACGTCCACGCGCCGTGGCTTGTTCTTCCGGGGCACATTCACATCCTCCACTGCCTTGGTGATACAGAAGAACGTCTCGCCCTTGCCACCCTGCATCCCTGCCGCGTCCACGCTCTCCCCCTGCTGCCACACTCGCCATGCGAGCACATACTCGCGGGGCGCGCAGAAGGGGTACTTGCGCTCGAAGCGTGCACTCTGCACGCCGGTCGCAGGGCAGGCGAGGAGCGGCGCCATGGAGCGCAGCATGGGGTCCCAGCGCGGCATGTACGCGCAGTCTGTGTAGAAGGCGCAGGTGTCGCGTGCAGTCGCGCCTATGAAGCGGATGCGCGACCGGTACTCAGTCACACCGCCGTCCTGCAAAACGGTGAGCGGGCACACACACGTGAACATACACAGTACACTTAGGGCTAGGAAAGTACGGCTTCCGAGGCAATTCAGGCATGGACGTGACCCTGAGGCATCCAATCAATCATCTGACGCGTGACCCTTCCACCACCCGCCCGTCACACTCGTCCCATCCACCCACCCACTATCACCATGCACTGCCCGCACTACTCAACAGTTCCAATCCAACCCCCCAGTTCCTCTCCCCCTTGTCTCTCCCAGCCTCTCCAGCCTCTCCTACCTGCGGGTCGCGGCGCCACGTCATGTACTCGACGTCGCTGCTGTGCTTGTCAATGATCATCTCCCACGGGCCCTGCTCGTCGTCATACGACCAGTCCAGCCGCAGCATCAGCGCCGCCAGGTCGCGCGTGCCCACCAGCGCGGTCGCCTCCCGCAGCTCCGCCTCCACCGCGCGCGAGTCCGCGGCGTCCAGACCATCCATGGCGCGGTCTCGCAGCTCCGCGGGGTTGCTGTTGATGAGGCGCAGGGGCGCAGGGTCGGACACGGTGTTGCGGAGACACAGGGGGAACGGAGGGGGAAGGACGGAGAGAGATGGGTTGAGAAGCGAGACGGAAGGGGTAGAGGGGCCTCGGGAGGGAGAAGCGAGGAAAAGCGGAGAGGGATGGGGAGTAAAATCCAGACCAGAATAGGCTCATGGGTGAAATGAAATGTGCAGCGGAAGGTGGCATAGGAGCAGACTCATAAGAGGTGCGCCATGTGCATACCTCATATCGTCGATGCATGACTCGCTATGGACCGTGGGCAGAGCAGCCATGGACCGTGACGCCGAAGCGAAGAGCTGCGAGAGGCTCTGGAGACACGGGCGGGAGAAGGAAACGGAGGAAATCGTTGAGATAACGGGTGACAGGCAAACAGAAGCTCAGGGAACTTCCGACCACAATGCAGCAAAGCATCACGAAACACAGTCACAGCCACGAGAGTCGCAGGGACGGATCACGGCAGCAGCACAAGACATACCCTGACGAGCACGGCAGGCGATTCTCCGAGCGACAGCGACACGGGCGACTTCATCACGCTCTGCGACCACTGCGCGACGTTGCTCCACGCGCTGCTGCTTGCGCTGCTGGCGCTGCTCAGCCCCATAGAGATGCTGCTGGAAAGATTCATGCTCATGCTCCGAGGCAACGTCAGGCAAAGGCTGCTCGGCAGGCTACGGGACAGCGGCAGGCCCGCCGCTTTCACCTCTCCCTCCGCCCGGGGCTCGAGCTCCCGCACCTCCTCCACCTCTTCCTCCTGCTCGTCGTCGCTCGACACGTCGCTCAGGTCGTCCTCCGAGTCCAGTCGAAGAAACGCGCTCGCGCGGGTCGACGACAGGCCCAGGCCCGCGGACGGGGCTGCGAGGGGCATCGGCGATGCGGCTATGAGGGCGGGCAGGGACGTGACGGACTTGTCGCTGCTGACCGTCAATTCCGCTACTGACACTGTGGACGAGTCGGACTGTGCTGGTGAGGGCGAGGGCGTGACGGAGGTCGAGTTAGAGGCGGAGAAAGGGAACCAGTACCCCGGCAGGCTGATGCTGGACGGGAAAAAACCACCACCGCTGCTGCTGCTGCTGCTGCTGGGGCTAGAGCTGCTAGTGCTGGGTTCCATATCGCTTCGTGCGACGACGGCTTCCGGAACGACATGGTCAGACGGGGTGCAGGGAGAAGGAGCGCTAGCGGCCGCCGGGGAGGCCGAGCGGCTGGAGAAAGAGAAGGAGAACCAAGCCGATGAGCGACTCCCGCCGCTCGAGCTCGGGGTCGCCTCGACCTTCGACTCCTCCTCCTGGCCGACGAGATCGCAGGCCGCTTCCTCCAGGCTAGTGCTGTTGGCGCTAACCATGCCGCTCTGCTCGCTCTCGCTCTCGCTCTCGCTCGCAGAAATGGTCGCACGTGGAGCTGAGGGCAGGGGGGAGAGCTTGAGGGTGGCAGCGGCGGCTGCACAGAGGGCCGTCATGAGGAAGAAGATGAGCAGCGACACCTGATTGTCGGCGACGTTCGACACGTGCCACAGCGAGAACGCCGAGGCCTCGAGAACTCTGCGGACAACACGATGAAAAGCAAGGGCAGAACGAAACATTAGAAACATGTAACTATGACCGCCTCTTTTTTTTCAATGAGCCGGGTGAGTAAAAATAGGAAGACAGGTGATTGTGTTGGGAGAACGGGCTGGGATCAGCACCTGATATCAGCTGACAATCCCAGCGAGGAAAGCAGGTCCAGGATATATGTGGGCGATCCGTATGCCGCCATGTGCGCTCCCGCCATGGCTGTGACGCTGAGCCCTGAGCCGAGGACCACCACCGACGACCAGCCGCTCTTTCCCTGAGACTGAAGTTGCAAATCCTGGGACTGAGTTTCTGAATCCCGTGACTGCGGTTGCGAATCCGGCGACTGAGGTTGCGGATCCCGCGGCTGTAACAGTGATTCCTGCGACATTCGCTGCTGACTAGCGGAAGTGCTGGTGAACCTGGTGGGAAGGTAAGGTGATGGGGGAAAAAAGCCGAGAAGAATGAATTTATTAGAATTGAAAAAATTGGAACGACCCAATGTAGTCCAGCGGTCCAATGTGACCTGAGGTATTAGGGCGAGAGAGACTCACAGGTCAGCGGCTGCTGTAATCTGGTCCGTGTTCACGAGAAGACCTTTAGCTGAAGCGGCTAGTGAGGCCATGCTAGGCGATGGAACCAGAGAATCCGACTGAGCATTCACGCAGCGAAGGACGGACGGGACAGAGCTCGTTCCGCGCTGCAGGTCGGCGTACTGCCATGATCCGGCAACAGACGCGACTGCCGTAGCCTCCTGTTCACCCATGCAGTGCAGGGTCACGGCGGGAAGGACTCCGCAGGTACTCATGGCTACCGAGCGAAACCTAGACAAGAGCGAGTGTTCAATATGGACTTGTGAAGCTAAGGCAGTCTGTGAGATGTGAACCGGTAGGTGCTTCACAGTTTCTGCTTGGTGTACAGAACAACCAAACCGCTCTGGTCCTCAAAGGGAGGAGCAGCGACGGAAACAGCACGTTCTCAAAATAAACACCAACAATGGTGTTAAAATACGACGCGAGTCAGGGCGAGTGGAGGGGATTCCTCTCGACCAAGGACGAGAGCACAGCAAAGCATACACGACGGAATGCTGGTTGCTAGAGCTCCGTGGTGAAGTGGGCTGTGGACCACAAGATATAGGCGCCTCCCCCTGGTGGAAATTGCGAGGAGGCAGATGAATACGTCCCCCTCTGCAACCATGCACACAACCAGGTGCTTTCTCTCCTCGCCTAGGACTTGGGTTTCTCTCTCACTCTCTCCCTCTCTTGGTGCCTGCTGGATGACAGCATGTGTGCGTGCTCCTGTTGCTCCTGCTCCCTGGCGAGGCGAGCCTGAGAACCCCCCTAAACAGTACAGAACTGGAATTCCTTCTGTGCGGACCAGGGCAGCACAGACGGGGAGGAGCGGACTGGCGGGGATTGAAGGACGTGGATTCCGCGGACCCCGTCGCATCATGGATTTCGGCACACCGCAGCGTGCCAGGGCTGGGCAGTTCTCTGCACTGCTGGAAGCGGATTGGTTCGGATTCTGAGAGGATTCTGATCTGACGACGCCTGAAAGGTTTCCACATCCGCTTTTAAGAAAAAGGGGGGAGGGGGGGCGATGTTTCACTTTGCGGGGTGATGTTTCAGTTTGCGCGCGTGCTGAAGTTCAGTCCACGCCTTGGGTTGGGCCTTCCAGTGTGCGGAAAGGGGATAAGGAATCAACATGCGCGGGGCTGATGTGGCAGGCAGGATGAAGACTCTCACACGGGTGATCTGCGGTGCGGAGGATTTGGCTGTCTTGTGCCCAGGTCTGACGTGGACGTCACCAGTATGATCAACATGATGAATCGCGACAACGATGATATTGACGTGGGACGGATGATTTCGATGATCAGGAACACACAATCTCGATTTTCGACGTGGACTGAGGGCAGTACATGCTGGCGCTGCTCTGGAAATACGCCCGCCTGCTTTGGAGACCATGGAAGACACGCATGAAACCCGCAGAATCTTAGGAAGCCAGTTATCTTGAGAGGTTCAGTGGGGAAAATCAAGTCGTCCTTACCCAGAGAGCAAGGCCGAAAACACTCTCGCTCTGGTTGATGTGGACATCATCATCGCAAGTGGTGGTACGCCGACCAAGGGCCTGAACTTACCTACAGCCGGGCACCAATAATTTTGTTCCTTGCTCACGAAATGCTCATGCCAGCCAATCGGCACGTGTGAATAAACAACAAGAATGCCGCGATATGGAAATTACTTGCCAATCACAGATAATGCTTTCAAACAAACAAACAACAATTTATTCCATAAAAGGACCATGCATGACAATTTATGCCTACATACTTCCTGCGGGAGGACTTGGTTTATCACTTGAAAACCTGGTAGCACAGGGCTTCGCTCCAACCTTGAGTGGCGAGATGCAGTTACTGCTTTGTGACAACCCAACCCTCCCTCTGGAAATTCGCCTGCTCAGTATTGGCTTACAATTTTCACGCCAATCTCCTCCCCAACCTCAATTGGTTGCAGGTTGATGCGAAATCGCCAACACAACCCCAACCTCACGAAATACGGACCCCCAACCGAGCCTTGGACGAAACTGGCGGGATTCGCCTGTTGTGTTTAAAACCTTCGCGCCCTGATTTCTCTAAAAATATAATTTTATGAGCAAATCAGACTGCATCCTATAGTGTGCACCCGAAATACCTGTTGAGAACCATAGTAGTTAGGAAACTTAGGAGATTAGGAACTAGGGTTTTGGAGAGGTTCAGCAAGGAGAACCATGGAGAGGGAAGTTGGCCAAAAGAGGAGTTTCACTATGGAATGAATACAAGATATAGGAATGGGCAAAAGGGAGGGTACACCACCAGCAGTTGATGCTAATACCTAAACTAGTACACTAGCTAGCTGTAGGCAGTTATAAGATATGCAATATAATTCAACACACCCCCGTAACTGCCTACGGCTATAGCTAGAGGTGCCTGGCACCAGGTCGCCTGGAGAGCGGTTGCTGTAGCTGGGATAGGCACAGAAACAGCGGTGGCTGACCGGCAGCACCTGTGAACGCCAGGACGGAGGAGGGCGCGGAGAGCGCGGAGGAGGGCTGGGATAGCCGGAGGGCGAAGGATGCTGGTCGCTCGCCATCTACGAGCAAACACAACTGTTGGTGAGGAGGAGGAAGCTGCTGGTGGTGCACAGGAGGAGAGCAAAGGAGAGGCGGCTGGAGGAGAGGAGATAGGAGGAGGAGATGCGGCTGGAGGAGAAGAGAGGAGGAGGAGATGCGGCTGGAGGAGAGGAGAGGAGGAGGAGATGCGGCTGGAGGAGAGGAGATAGGAGGAGGAGATGCGGCTGGAGGAGAGGAGAGGAAGAGGAGATGCGGCTGGAGGAGAGGAGAGGAGGAGGAGATGCGGCTGGAGGAGAGGAGAGGAGGAGGAGGAGAGGAAGTGCAGCGGAAGGAGGAGGAGAAGGGGGAGGCGGCTGCCTGCACATACCCGCCACCCCCACACCCTCTTCCCCCCCCCCCCCAAACGCGGCACGAACTGCAGATGCACGGGCAGCGATGAGGAGGAGGATTAGGGAGGGGCAGGAGGGTTCAAGGGGGCTTAAGCACCCCCGTAGCCGCGGGCGCGAGCCTCGCCACCTCCCCCCCGCAACGTCCACCGTAGAAGAGAGCGACGGCAGGTGCGGAGGCGGGGAGCGGGGTGGCGATGGCAGGGGCGCTGGCGGCCGCTGCTGGCGCTGGCGCTCGCGACCGGCGCTGGCGCATGCCGCTGGCGCTGACGCTGACGCTGGCGCTGGCGCTGGGGACCGGCGCTGGCGCTGGCGCTCGCGACAGTCGCTGGCGCTGGCGCACGTCGCTGGCGCTCGCGCTGGCGTCAGCGACGGTCAGAGGCGCAGGTGCTGGCGTCCGCGACCAGCGACGGGGCGACGCGACAGCGCGCGGGACGGGGCGACCAGCGCGTGGGGCGGGTAGCACGGGGCGTTCAGCGCGGGGCAGGCAACGGGCGAGCGCCTCGAAGGGCGCAGCAACGGTCGCCATGGCAACGATGGCAGCCATGGCGAATGAAAAATAACAAGGTCCTTAGAAGGACCCAGCTCTTAATACCATGTTGAGAACCATAGTAGTTAGGAAACTTAGGAGATTAGGAACTAGGGTTTTGGAGAGGTTCAGCAAGGAGAACCATGGAGAGGGAAGTTGGCCAAAAGAGGAGTTTCACTATGGAATGAATACAAGATATAGGAATGGGCAAAAGGGAGGGTACACCACCAGCAGTTGATGCTAATACCTAAACTAGTACACTAGCTAGCTGTAGGCAGTTATAAGATATGCAATATAATTCAACAATACCCCCAGAAAATACAATTTCGAATGTAGACCGCAGCTTTAAGTGGCCGGATTAGTCCATGTACCGTACTACATTTCTCGCACAAGTTGCAGCACAGGAGGAAAGCATTGGTTGCAAACATCGTGCTTGAATTGCAACTGATGAAAGGAATGTCAGAATCCCAACCACTAGACCATTAAGATAAAAGGGCTTGTTTGTGTAGCGGGTAAGTGCGCCCATAATGTCAGGAATGAAAGTGTTGGTTCATTGATGTGGGTTGGGGTACATATAACAAACCCTAACATCTGTACCCCCTAAGACAAACCTCACTACAGGCTACAACATTTGACACACCCCCATAGCCTAAGTGAGGGGTGTCAAGCAAAACCAAAAGTGTACGGTCACAAGACCAGTCATAAAGAAACAAAGCTCAGGGTGGATCACAACGTCACCACACACTCTGAGCACAAGCAACAGGGGCCACAAGGCCAGTTCGAGAGTTTACAAGTGTGTATAGCAAGAGTAAAAGCAAAGCAAACAGTAGACTCAAGCCTATACACGACTAGAAACTGTGTCAACAAGGCCTAACTGCACACAACACCTCTGGTGGTCACAAGGCGGAAGCGCCTTGGTGAAGATGTCTGCAGTGTTGGCCTCGGACTCCACAAACTCGAAGCGAGCCTGTCCACGTCTCTGCAACTCTCGCATAAGAAAGTACCTGACGTTAATGTGCTTCACTCTGCTCTCCAGTCGCGGCTCCAAAGTCAGCAGGACCAACACCAGTTTCCGGAAGACAAGAGTCTCCTGCAACCACGGGCTCAGCTCCAACTCCAGCACCCCCAGAACTAGCACATGTAGGGCCCTCTCCACGAGCAACGGCTCCCGCAGGGTCTGCAGCAGGCTGCGAGGAGGACTGCGGGAAAGGAGGCTGCACCTGAGGGGCTACCGAGGGGGGAGCGGTAGCCTGGGACACACCTGACAGGGCGGGACCAGGGGGGGGAGGCTGTACCGGGGGAGCAGGAGGGGGAGCGGAAGTCAGGAAGAGAGGGGGAGGAGGGACCGGGAGACCTCGACTGGGGTACCTGACGTAGTAGGGGGTGGACTCCTCGAAACGGACGTCACGGGAGTCAAAGAATCGGTGAGAGGGAGGGTGGTAAAAGGTGAAGTCAGAGGAGTCCTCAGGGAAACAAAGGAAGACACAGGGAACGGCGCGAGGCGAGAGCTTGTCCGCGGAAGTGTCGCGGACAAGAGCCAAGCAACCCCAGACACGAAACCTCGACGCAACACCAGGGGACCCGGTCCAAAGACTGGTCGGTAAA